TTAGGAAAGAAAATCATAGAAGTAAAGTGTCGTTTCATTACATTATGTCAACGTGGCTGATGGCTGCTGATGTTAGCGCTGAACATCTACTTATGTTTCTTCACTGTAAAGTTACTTCTCCTTCCCTCTATTGTGAACTCTTTGGGAAAAGTCACAATTTGCAGCTCTTCCCTTAGGACAGAGTATCCATCTACATGTTGTTATTAAGTGCCATCGAGTCAATTCCAACTCACAGCGACCCTGTATAGGGTTTCCAAGGAGTGGCTGGTGAGCTTGAACCGCTGACCTTGTGTTTCAAACCGATCTTGTAATAACCCACAGGGCCACACCAGGACTCCATCCATCTGCATAGATCATTGGGAATTCTGCCTAGGAGATTTGTCGCTTCTCTCCCACTTATTTATTTATTCAGTCATTTATTTGTATCAGTAGGGACACCTGGATATTTACTTTTTACTTTCAAATTGTACCATTATCTTAAGTCATTGTGGGTGCTAAGCTTTCTGTTTGTTAGGACTGCTCACTGTTGAATATAGCAGATTGTTTTCTCGACTATTTTACAGTTTTCTGTTGTGAGCCTCCCATTTGCCCTGAATTGTGGCAATGTCTCTTTAGAGCACTTTTGCATTTATTTATGAACAGAGTGTGACTTGTTCAGGACCAATTTTTGTATTGCTTTCCTAGCTTGAAGATACCTACCCCAGGAGTACGGTACACATTTAGATTCCTAACCCACCCACAGTGTAGGTCTGTTATTGTTAGGTGCTGTCTAGTTGGTTCTGACTCATAGCGACTCTATGCATAACAGAATGAAATACTGCCTGACCCTGCCCCGTACTCATTATTGCTGTCACTGTGTTACTCCATCTCATTGGAGTCTTCCTCTTTTTCACTGACCCTCTACTTTACCAAATATGATGTCCTTCTCCAGGGACGGTTCCTTCCTGATAGCATGTCCAACATACAAGAGAGGAAGTCTCATCATCGCTGCTTTTTAGGAGCAATCCAGTTGTGCTTCTTCTAAAGCAGATTTATGCATTCTTCTGGCAGTCCATGGTATTTCAATATTCTTCCCCAATACCATAGTTCAAATGCACCAATTCTTCTCTGCTCTTTCTTATTTATTGTCCAGCTTGTACATGCATATGAGGCTATTGAAAATACCATGGTTTCGGCCAAGCACACTTAGCAAATTGATCTCTTTGCTCTCTAACACTTTAAAAAAGGTCTTTTGCAGCAGATTCGTCTAATGGTCTTTTGATTTCTTGACTGCTGCTTTCATGAGTGTTTATTGTGGATCCAAGTAAATGAAATCTTTGGCTACTTCAATCTTTTCTTCATTTATCATGATATTATTTACTGGTCCAGTTTTGAGGATTTTTGTTTTTCATTGAGGTGCAATCCATACTGAAGGCTGTGTTCTTTGATCTTCATCAGTAAGTATTTCAAGTCCTCTTTGCTTCCAGCAAGTAAGGTTGTATAGTCCGCAAGTTGCAGGTTGCTAATGAGTCTTCCTCCAATCCTGAAACCATGTTCTTCTTCATAGAATCCAGCTTCTCAGATTCTTTACTCAGCGTACAGACTGGATATGTATGGTGAAAGGATACAATTGTGACATACACCTTTGCTGATGTTTAAACCACTCAGTATCCCCTTGTTCTCTTTGAACGTCTATGTACATGTTCCGCATGAGCATAATTAAGTGTTCTGACATTCCCATTCTTTGTGTAGGTTTAGAGTTTTGATTTTTCATATTTGACTTGACACCCCCACCCCCACCCCTAGACACTGAACTGCCTAGCAGAGATGAGTTTCCATCCTGTTTCTCTGGACTAGTATATTAAACTTCTCCAGAATTTTTTTCACTGAGTGTATAGTTCATTGGAGTCCTGGTGTTGCACTGTAGGATAAACACTCGACCACAAGGTCAGTAGTTCAAACTCACCAGTCACTCCTGGGAAACCCTATGAGTCAGAACCAACTTGATGACACTTAACGACAACAACAGTCCATTGGGAAGTGGGGTAGTCAGTCTTTATACAGGGGTTTTAGTTCCAACTGTAGTGTCACATTGGATCCCATCTCCTGTCATGTGTCCTAGTAAAATTCAAGTCCCTAGTAGCCTGCCCACCTCTGGGACAAGACAGACGCAGGCCACCCTTTGTTGTTCTGTTTTACTTTCCTCTTTGTTTCTGGCTCCTAAAGAGTTCTTCTTACAAATTCTTCATTGAGTTTTCTTCTTTATAATACTTATAATATATTATGCAGGATTTTTAGATGTCTGTGCTAGAAAGGAACTCTGGGTGGTGCTGTGGGTTAAGTAAGTATCGGGCTGCTAACTGCAAGGTCAGCAGTTCAAATCCATCAGCTACTCTTTGGGAGAAAGCGGAAGCTGTCTACACCTGTAAAGATTTACAGTCTCAGAAACCTTAAGGAGCAGCCCTTCTCTGCCCTGCAGGGTCGTTGTGAGTTGGAATTGACTTCATGGCTGTGGGTTTGGTTTTTGATGCTAGAAAGGGTTCCCTGCTAGCACAGTCTAACATGTTGCTGGAACCAGATGCATTTTTACATTTACATCAAGGGTGCGTCCTGACAGTTTTCCTAAAACCCATGGGCAGCCCTGACATGAACTGAAGTCTCCTGTAAGAACAGGAAGATGTGGTTGCTCACAGTTTCCTCACTGTATCTATGCAACATGTCAAGAATTTTAGGATCTACTCTTGGATAGGTTACCTTAGAGAAGATACTGGGAGGAAAAGGGGGACTTGCTTGCTTGTTCCTAAGGGTAGACTATGACCGGCAGGGAAAATCCTGGCTATGTATGAGGCAGAACCTTCTCAAAATTGCATCAACTTGGGAGAGGCTCACCATCCTTGAAGATCTTCAGAAAAAAAGCAAGCGAGGCAGGTGTGAAGATCACCAAAGTATTGCTAGTAACTGAAAACAATACCAGGTGTTTATTCTTGGGTCCCTGTAGCTCCAGTCCACTTGCCTGTTGTAATCACTATCTAAAAGATACATTTGTAAATGGGAAGTCAAGCATTTGTGTAAATTCAACACTTTTCCTTAATCTTGTAAATACCTTAAATAAACCAAAGTCTGGGTAGAGATGAAAGAAAAGTGAACCGATGGTTATGTGTATTGGTGTGTATAAAGAGGCTTCCATCGTTATGGCAACCAGGATCCTCAACTGATGCAATCCTGTTCTCAATAATATGAGACGTGATTAAAAATCGACATTGCAGCAAGGCAGAACACATGTAATGTGTTGGCGTGGCAACAAGAATACTTACATTCTGCATAATCCTGAGGATCACAGAAATTTTGGGGTGATGGTTGGTGGTTATGTGCCTTGGAGTCGGTTCCGACTCATAGTGACCCTGTACAGGTTTTCTGAGGCTGTAAATCTTTACGGGAGCAGAAAGTCTCATCTTTCTCCCGCGGAACAGCTGATAGTTTCGAACTGTTGACCTTGTGGTTCGCATCCCGATTTACTTGGCCTCAATGACTTAGGTACCCTTTCCTCATGTGACTAGGAGGCAGGATGGCCTGTGACCATGAGCTGTAGACTAACCCACTCAAACTAAACCCACTGGGTCACCGCCTGCCCTTGAGTCAGTTTGACTCAAAGCAATCTTGTAGGACAGAGCAGAACTGATCCAGAGAATTCCCAAGGTGGTAGGGGGATTGGGAGTGGCTGGTGCTTAACCTCTGTGACACCAGGACCCCATAGATACTTATTTCCTGTTTTTAAGTGCCATGGAGTCATTTCCAATGCATCACGAACCTGTCTAGGGTTTCCGAGGCTGTAAATCTTTATTGGAGCAAAGATTTACAGTCTCATCTTTCTCCCATGGAGAGACTGGTAGTTTCAAACTGCTGACCTTTCAGTTAGCTGCCTGACTCTAACCCACTACACTACCAGAGCTCCTTGTGGAGTCGGTTGTTGTTGTTAAGTGCCATGGAGTCAGTTCCAACTCTTAGAGACCTTGTATAGGGTTTCTGAGGAGCGGCTGGTGAGTTTGAACCACCGACGTTGTGATTCAAACGTTGTAATTCAACGTTGTGATTCAAATGACCTTGTGGTTCAGTGCTGATTCCTCAGCGCCTCACCGACTTCTGTGGAGTTGGTTTGTTGTTGTTAAGTACCTTCGAGTTGGTTTCTACTCATAGTGACTCTGCATAGGGTTTCCAGGAGCAGCTGGTGGGTTTGGATTGCCAATCTTGTGGTTCACAGTCCACTGCTGATGCTACAGTGCCACACCCACAAAACCAATGTGTTTCCTTCCTTCTTGCTATATGCAGGCTCCCATCGTCTTGAATTACACAAACCCATGTGAAGGTACAAGGTGTGATGTGTTTAATAAAGAGTATTTTGCATAGGAGGACCAGTAACTAGAAGATTTGGGTAGTCAGGTCATGTGAAGGCCACGAGATTAGTTGAGGAAAGTGAAACACCAGGACCACCATTCAAGGCAACACCACAACAGAAGCCATTACTAAATACACGTCAGTCATCTTCTGTTTACAAATAGAGAAATGGAGAACCATGAGAATAAAACGATGAGTCCACGTCATATTACCGCTGGCAGACACCGGAACCCAGGGGAGACTAATGCCAAGCAGGGCCCGGACCAGAACCTATGCTGCGCTGGTCTGTTTTCGTCTGATCACACGTGCTCTTCAGCTTTTCTGAGGCAGGTTTCTAACCCTTCTTGGTTTCCCTTCTCCAGGTGGGGTCAGGTGCGGTGGGGGACACAGACGTGGGGGTGGGGTGGAGGTGTGTGCAAGCTCCGATTGTAATCACCCACCACTCAACTCGGAGGGGGGCGGTGTGGTGGAGGGAGCTAGGGTCCTATGGGTCTCTCTCTCCAGCCTTGGTGGTTCCCGCGCCCCACTACGCTTCTGGCTGTGATGCAGGAGGTAGAGCGCAGAAGAATCTCAATCCGCCTCTTCCGAGAAGCAAATTGGCCCCAGGGGAAATAGGGCTTTAGGCCCACATGGCCGTGGAGGGGGATGCAGGCGCCCAAGGACCCTCGGGCCTGCGACCCCCAAATCTTCTCCGTGCGCCCGCTTCGCGTGAGTGCGTCTTGCAGGGGGCCGGGCCCGCCCCCCTGTGCGCGCAGGCGCGCGCCGCGCTGGGCTCGGACCACCGCTCAGCGCCGGGCGGCTACCGGCTGGCCTTGCAGGTAAGGATTCCGCGGGCGAGTGCTTCGGTCCATAGGTCTCGTTGCCTCCCTCCTTCCGAGCGCCTCTGGCAGGTAAGATATTCGAGACAACTGGAGTGGATGGGTTCTGGGCGGAGTGCGGAGGGAGCCGGGTGGATGCCGGGCTCCGGGCGATGGGATTTGGCGGAGCTGCTGCTGGCGGCGTTCAAGAGGGGTGGGGAGGGAGGAGGCTTCTTTTTGCAGGGGGGAGTGGGTTTGTTTGTTTTTTTTTTCCTGTTGTTGAAATGCAGTCAATTGCGAGTTTTTTCGTCAATGGAGAGGAGAGTATCGAGGGCGGGATTTTGGTTTTCTTGGAATTGGATCATTTGGCAAACTTTTCTATTATTAATTTTTTATTTTTATAACAAAATTGAGATTCCCCCTCTCCCCCTTCCAAAGGGAAAGAATTATAAAAAAAATTCCGCCATTTTGGCATTTTAAAAAGTAACCGCTTTGCGGAGCTGACGGATCAGTGGCAGCCCCGCCAGCCCGCCAGGGTCTACACCAGTCCCAGAAGGACTCCGAAGGTGAGGCGGATCTGGATCCTCGAACCCAGTGCACTAGGCCGCAGCATTCGCTCCCGCGTACCTGCCGCCGCGGGGGTGGGGGAGGGGGTCTGGACCGAGGCCCCAAGTTTGTGGCGCTCAGGCTTGCTGCGACTCCGTGTGTGTTGGGGTGCCAGGTCTGTCTGGGGCAGTGACTCCCCACCCAACACCTAAAGCAGAGGCATTTATTAAGCATCAACTGTGTACAAGGCTTTATAGGTCGCTAGATGGGGAGAGAGGGGTCCCTGGCTGACCACAATAAACATGGACATATTCATTCCAGAAATATTTATTGAGCACCTACTGTGTGCCAGAAACAGTGATGAGGATACAGTGCTTTTAGGTTTGGTTGGCTGGTGACTTTAGGAGGTTTATTGAAAAGTACTCTCGGGAATGTCACCAGTAGGAGACTGAAGCTAGGCAGAGGAAGATTTTGAACTGATGAGTTACATCAACCTCAGGCTGTCCCAAGAGGCGTCTGGAACTGGAATGGTGCCTCTTCCCAAAAATCAAGACTGTTGCCATTTAATGGATTTTGACTGATAGTAACCCTATAGAATTGAGTTGAACTGTTCCATAGGATTTCTTAGGCTGTGTAAACCTTTACTGAAACAGACTGCCATATCCTCTTCTGGAGTAGCTGGTGGTTTCCAATTGCTAACCTTTCAGTTAGCAGCAGAGCACTTAACCACTGCACAACCAGGGCTTCTTGATGGCCCTTCAGATGTCCCAAGTTGAGGCAAGGGAGCAGGCCTTTGTACCCCAAATCAACTAATCGTTGGATGGTTGATTCCAGAAGAGGGCATGAGGGAGAACAGCTCTCTTGGTTGAGGGAGGGTGCCAACCCTCTTCCAGTACCTTGCCTTCCACTTATAACCCCAGGTTCAGAATAGAAGGAAAAAATCGCATTCTTGCCCTAAAGACAAGCATGACTGTGCCACTTAGGGATTAAGGCTTTCCATGCTTGTTGTGTCTTCTCATTATTTACCATGCTTTGCTCTCACCTGCCTTATTCATTCAGTGACTGTTGAGTACAATCTCTGGATGAAGCTTTTTGCATGGTAGGTGCTTTGGCCACAGACCTACAGAGTCAATGCATGGTTAGATTGTGGTAGCATGTAGCAATAAGTGAATACCACAAGAACACAGAGGGGAAGAAACAAGGCGACAGAGTTACAAGAGCACAAGAGGGAGACAGCAAGCCAATTTTTCAAGCAAGCAGCTTACATATTTTTCCAGAAGCTACTAAGCTCCCTGGAAGTTCTGTTAAAAAGGGAGTGGACTAGTATTTGATGAGGACCTGCTGGTGTCAAGATTTTACATGTATCCTCCAATTATTCTCCAGCTCTTTGAAGCGACTCTACTACCACCTCCATATTATATATAAGGAAGCTGAAGCTCAGAGAGGGTAAACTACCTGCTCTCATAGGTATTCAGTGGGGGTTCAAAGTCATGTCTGCCGTAAACCTCGACCATGCTCTTTAATCTGTATGGCAGAAGTCATTGTCAAGTATAGCTAGCGCTGTAGCCACCTATCACTCACTCATAGAGTGCTTTTTATTAATGGAGGGAAGGTACCACAGGTGGGGTTTTTTTTGTTTGTTTGTTTTTTGTTTTTTGGTGTTTTTTAAGGAAGTGGGTCATTTGGCATCGTTTTGAAAGTTTAAATTACTAAAATCCAACACAAATATTCATTTAACACCTATTGTGTGCCAGATACTCTTCTGTTGTTGCTGTTGTTAATTGCCATTGAGTCAGTTCCAATTCATAGTGACCGTGTATAAGATTTCGGAGGAGCATTGGGTTTGAACTGCTGACCTTCTGATTAGCAGTTCAGTGCTTATCCTACAACGCCACATGAGAACTCCAGTCTAGGTACTGGGATATAGCAGTGAAACGGACAGAGCGATGTCCATTTCTGTCATGTGGCGATGACTTACAAACACAGGAACAGATAAATGAAGGATCTATAGGATAAACACTGGACTGGGAACCACAAGGTTGATTGTTTGAGCCCACCAGCCACTGCAAGGAAGAAAGGTAAGGCTTTCTGTTCCCGCAAAGATTAAAAAAAAATTTTTTTTTGCATTGGTACTAATTTTTTTAATTAATTAATTTTTTATTGTGAACTGAGTGATAGTTTACATGGGAGAACATCAGCTTTACACTGACGTTTCATTGCAATGATTACAGTCTCCTCTGTGCATCACCATTCAACAATATTTACTTCCATTCCCTCTGTCTTTCTTTTTTGGGGGGGTGGGATGGGGAGATGTACACAGTCACACTTCGACATATATCATAATTTAAACCAAAGGACACATACTGCAAGAGTGTGTCCACCATTACTCAGCCCCTCTCTTCCCATGAATCTGTAATCCTCAGCTGCTCCCTCTCTCCATGTCCTCATCTCTGCCTCCATCTCTGGTGTCACTGCTTCTCTGGATTCCCGCAAAGATTTTAAGCCACGAAAACCTTGTACAGGGTTTCTGAGTCAACCAACTCAAGGGCACTTAACAACAACAACATATGGCACATTTTATGAAGATCATTATATGGTACAGGGTGTGAAGGAAATAAACCCAGTAATGAGACAGAGAGTGGTGAAGTGTAGTGGGGGGTGGGGGAATGTTCTGCTTCAAATTGATAGTCAAGAACGACCTCTCTGAGGCCTAGATGATGGGAAAGATCCAGCCAAACAGAGAGTTTGGGGAAGAGCATTCCAGGCAGAGGGAGTAGCAAGGGCAGAAGCTGTAAGGTGGAATTGTTGGTCAAGCAATAGAAGGAACCCAGAGTCCGTGGAAGGTGAGGTCAGAGAGGAAGGCAGGTCAGACTCTGTAGGGTGAAGCATTTTATTTCATCCTAATGGCATAGCCATTGAAGAATTTTAAAATGGATCACATAGGAAATTGAATGATCCGGTTTATGTTTTGAAGCTCTCTGTGACTAGAGAATAGAGTGCAGGTGGGTGGAAGAGAGAGATGGATTAAGAGGCAACATCAGAGGTCCAGAAAGAGCTGATAGTGGTTGGAACTAGCATGGTGGCAGTGGAGAGGGAGAGAAGAGGCCAAAGATGTGCTTTGGAGGTAGAGCCAATAGGCAAATTATAATATGCCTAAAGGAGTCCTGATGTGGTGTTGTAGGATAAGCACTGTACTGTTAGCCTCAAGGACAGTAGGCTCCTTGGAAACCCTATATAGGGTCGCTATGAGTTGGAACAGATTTGATGGCACTTAACAGCAATGACAACAAAGCTGTGTTGTCTGATATGGTAGCCACTGGCCATTGAGGCTATTTAAACGTAATTAAAATTAAATAAAAGTTTCAATTCCGTTTCTTCAGTCTTACAAGCCACATTTTAAGTTCTCGGTAGCCCTATGTGGCTTGTTGTTGTTGTGAAGTGTTGTTGAGTCGATTCCGACCCATAGCGACCCTGTATAGGATTTGCAAGGAACAGCTGGTGAACTTGAACCTCTGACCTTCCAGTTCAAACAGCTTTGCAGTCTGGCGCATTAACCCACAGCACCACACCAGGACTCCTAGTGGCTACTATATTGCACAGCATAGGCATAGGATATTTCCATCATCACAGAAAATTATATTTCTATAATATAATTATATTTATATAAATTATATATAAATTATAAATATATACATTATAATTCTTTAATATAATAGCATAGTGGCTGACACATTTTAGGAGTTGAGTAAATGGTATATATTAAATATTTGTGTTATGTCATTAGGCCATTTTTTCTGTATATTCGTATTTACCTGTTCAGCCAACTCTTTATTAAATGCTTCTACTTGTGGCACTGTGGGTTAATGTGCTGGACCGCAAAGTTGGTTTGGACCACAAGGTCGGCAGTTCAAGCTCACCAGCCGCTCCTTGGAAACCCTACACGGGGTCGCTATGTGTCGGAACCAACTCAGTGGCACTTGACAACAACTCTCCATGCTTTTCTAAAGCACGTATTGCCTGGGTTCTAATACACTACTTGAGTTTGTTCAACAGATGTTTGAGTGCCCTCTTGGTGTTGGAGAGACTAGTGGGCAAAGGGCACAGAACATGACCAGAAAAAAATCCCACCTCCTAGGAATATGAAATCTGTGTGGGTGGGGGAGAACCCTGAAACCTGAAAGGCTCTGTATCCCCAGAAGGAGAAGAAAATGGTTCTGGTAGGGGTGGGGTCTAGAAGGAGGTGAGTTTGAACTTGACCTGGGCTGTGTATGAGGACTGCTGGCTAGATAGAACGTTGTCCAGAGCCATTCTGAGCCCAGCTTACAAAGCACGGTCATATATACCATTGCATCCACAGTACAGAGGAGGGTGGGGAGAACTTGGCTGGAGAACTCTCAGTAACCTTGGTGGAGCCAGGAGCCAGACCTGATGCTAGTCGCCTGAGACACTCTACCCCCCACCCATTCTAGGCTGAGGTCATTCTTTGCAGATTGCTGGCCTGGTAGTGGCCAGCTCCCTCTCAAAGAAGTTCCCTTCTCTTTCTGACCTCCCGGGGAGGCGGGGGCTATGTTTGGTTTGTAGGCCTCTCAGGATGGAGGGACATGCTGAAATGGAGATGCTGAGGACACTGAAGGGGCCCTCCACAGGGGAGGTCAGCGTCCACCTGGTGGCCAGAGACAACCCGGGTTCCGGCCCTCACCTGCCCGCTACTGCCTTCATTATCCCAGGTGGGCCAAGCCAGGGTTCTAGGGAGGAGGAGGAGCTTAAGCAGGTGTGGATCCTTGGGATGGGATGGCTCTTTCCCCTGCCCAGATATGCATGGTGGGATTGAGGCAAGGCCACTAGGCTTACCTGCCTGCCTGTTCGTGTGTCTGTTTGCAGCTAACTCGGCCACTCTAGGCCTGCCTAGCAATGCCCTGGAGGTGTCTTGCTTTCCCCGAGAGTCAATCCATGTGGGTGCCCCGGAGCGGGCGGCCGCCAGCGAACCCGTTACGGCCACCGTGCTGCCTCAGTTAAGTGCTGGGCCAGCTACCAACTCCGGTGCCAGTACGGTGCGGCTCCTGGAGTGGACGGAGTCGGCGGCCCCGCCTCCCGGGAGTGGCCTGCGGGTCAGTGTCTGGCGGGTATTGGCTAGGCCCCGTGAGCTGCATCTATGGGGCGGGGCTTGGGACCAGGGGCGAGGCCTGAGGCTGAGCGAGGAAGCTGGCTGACAACAGGGAGTAGGACTTTGAGGGCGTGGCTCTAGGGGCGTGGCTCAGGGATAAGGCACTCTAGGACCGAGGGGCTCTGAGGTGTGTGGCATGGAGAGGCTGTTGGGGTCAAGTCGAAGGCGTTTTAGGGGCGTAATTTAGAGTGAGAGGCTTTGGACCAGTCAGTTGAGGCCCTAAAGGTGTGGCTGGGGGAGGCGCAGGGCATGGGGGTGTGACTTTGGGGGTGTCCCAGAAGCAAAGGCGTGGGGCCGCTGGGAGTGAGGCACTATGGGGATTTGGTTGGGGAATGGGGTCTGTAGTACTTTAGGGGCATGACTTGGAGTGAGGTGCGCTAGCATCTGGTTTGCGGGATCTAGAAGTGTGGCTTGGAGGTGAGGCACCTTGGGGGCGTGGCTTGGGAGTAAGGCGTTGTGGGCCAGGTCTGCGGGGCTTTGGAAGCGTGGCTTGGAGTGAGGCCTCTGGAGTAGGGCTCAGAGGAGGGTCCAGGGCAGGTTCAGAAGTCTTAGTCGTCAGATTCTCCGCGTTCCAGTTCCGGATAAGCGAGTACACGCCGCTGACCATGGTGAGAGCAGAGCAGCCGCGGAGCCCGGAGCTGGAAGGCGTGGCCGAATACGAAGATGGCGAGGCCTCGGCGGGAGGTGGCGAGGCGGGCACCCTACAGCCGGGTAGGAGACCTTGTCCCCAGGTCCTGAGGTTGGCCCCCGCTCGGGTGGGTTGAGGCCTGAGGAGCCTGGACAAGGGACAGGTCCGGAGGTATTACTGCAGGTATGCCCTAGGGGTTGGGCCTGAGGGGGCGTGGCTGCGAAGTAGGCGGGCCCTGAGTGTGGGTGTCTTGTGTCCCCACAGCGGACCTCCCCCAAGACCCTCCAGAACGTAGCTCTCAGGACCCCGTAGAGGATGACACCATCTGTCAGTGCCAAGCCTGTGGGCCTCGGCCAGGTGCCGGCCCAGATCTCGGTTCCTCCAATGACTGCTGCGCCCAGCTGTTCCAGGAGCGGTAATGGGGAGTGCACTGCACCCTACTTGCCCACCCTGTAGTTCCCCAAAGCCCCAGCCCTGTTCAGGGATAAGGAGACGGGCTGGCAGATGGCTCTGTCCCTCAAGCTGCCCCTCCTTCAGGTCTGTCATAGTGGAGAACGCCGTGGGCTGCGCCAGCGCTTCTGAATTGTTCAAACCTATGAAGAAGCGGAAATGCAGGGAATACCAGAGCCCATCAGAGGATGAGTCAGAGCCAGAGGGCATGGTAGGAAGGGGGGGTGCAGAGGATATACTTCAATTCCCACTGCCCCCTCCATCAACCCAGAAAAGACAACCGCAATGCCTTCAGCAAATTTGGGGGCCCATCTTGAGTAAAGAAATCCTGTTCCTGGTTTGAGGGAAAGGAAGAACTCACTCCCCTGATTTTGGGGGGCACTTCTGCAGTCAGTGCCCTCTCAGAGCTGAGGTGCACTCACATGAACTGACACCCAAGGTCCATGTGCAGACAGGTGGAAAGCTTCCTGTCTGGAACCCAGTAACCAACCCAGAAGCTAGGGAGCACAGGTCTCTCTAGCTGCAGAATGGCTGGAGGAGACAGCAGGAAGAGTCTAGTGGGCAGGTGTTTGTGTCCTCAGATTCCGCACCTGGGACTGAGGAGAGTTGTAGGCAGACAGTGTAACTAGGCTGTATGTGCTCCTGTGAGTCTGGGCCCAGGTGGTAAGAGGTTGCCTCCTGCCAATGACCTAGAGGAAATTCCAGCCATTTGGGGCAGATCACCTTGTGGCCATAGAGCAGCCAAGGGCTTCACTTCAGCTTCCGAGGGCAGGAAGCTAGGACTAGGTTTGTTGTCTGCAGGAGAAGCAAGAAGAAGAAAAGGATCCAGAGGGACAGCCTACCACTAGCACCCCAGAAAGTGAGGAGTGGAGCAGCAGCCAGCCTGGTATGGTGGCCTGTGTGTATATATTCGTGTGAGGTGTGTATATACCCAATGGTGTGAGGATTGGAGTGTGGGTTGTGGTTGTAATGGAGTGTTGTGCGTATATAGATGAGCCTGTGTAAGTGCATGAGAGAAAGGGACAGTGTTTCAGGTTGTATGTGTTTGTGTGTTTTGTCTAGTTGTGAGTTAGCCCCACTACTAAAGAGGTCATGGCTCAGTATGTGCAGACTTGAGCATCCTAGCCTGGAACCACATACATTGCTCTCCTTTGTTGGTATGAGCAAGTCTCCACTGCCTCCACTGTTCTGGCCTTCCTATTTGGGCCCCCATTCTGACCCTTTGGTTGGTAGTTATATGCTGTGGAGTCGGTTCTGACTCATACCAGTTCTGTATAGGGTTTCCAAGGCTGTGAATCTTTACGGGAGCAGAAAGTCTCATCTTTCTCCCACTGAACAGCTGATAGTTTCAAACTGCTGACCTTGCGCTTAGCAGCCCAACTCATAAACACTATGCTACCAGAGCTCCTTTCTGCCCCTTTAGTGCTAATCAAAATGGAGTGGAGAACATTGATAGTCAGCTTTGGCTCTCCAGATTTCTCCTTTGCCTTCTCTACATTCCCATGTGACCGGAATACTGTGCCCTGAGCATTTCTGACCCTGTCCAGTCAGGACAGCCTTCCCTCAGCCATGCCCACAGCAGGTGTCTCTGTGCCCTGGCAATGTGACAAAGCTCTTTTAGGGCTGCTGGTAAGTACCCACGGGACACACTAATGTACCATAAGCTTCAGCCTGCAGGCATGCAGTTCTAGTTCTGTGGATCAGCAAATTTAACACCCACCCCTAACCCCCCACCAGTTAAGTGTGTGGAAGCACCCTATTCAGCAAGAAAGCCTCCTACCCAGAGTCACTCCGCTTTACTTGCTGGGAAACCCACTGCTCTGTCTCATGCTCTGGTTCTTGGTTCTGCTGCTACTCCTCTGCCACTCTCCATTGTTACAGTTTTCTGTCCCTGGGTCAGGGAGGTTCACTGTGTAGAAATCTCAGGATCCAAAGGACATGCTCTACTCCTGGCTCTTTCTTCTTGATGGTAGTGAGAAATCCCCTGTTCCTGCTTCTAAGATGGTTCCTGCTTCTAAGATGGTTTCAAGTTTTTACAATTATAATAAACTCTGTTAACGTCTACTGCTGAATCATGTCATCCTGACAGTATCTTCTCTAACCCTCTGTTACTCAGATCCATCAGGAAAAGACCAAGGCTAGAAGAGACATATTAAACAATTCACTACACATAATTGGTTTATAGCCTCTTAAGACTTAGAGAAAGGATATGGTGTCTAATATTGGTTCAAATGCTCTTTCTTAACTTATGCAGGACCATCTAATGTGATCCCTTCCAGATCAATTGGACACCATTGAGATCTCGTCTCAGGGTCGTGGAGGCTGAGGTTCATGTTAACAAATCTTGGCATTCTGTTCTTTACGTTGTTTTTTACCCCTGTAGACTTTTTAGTAGGGTTGTAGAGACTAAGGTTCATGTTATCAAATCTTGGCATTCTGTTCTTTTCTTTGTCTTTTCCCCCTGTATACTTTTTAGTAAAAGTTCTGAACTAGAGATATTAATTTACAAATTATCTGTACTGAAATGACTGAAGCCGTGCTAAAAGAGCTTCCTGAAGGACATGAACAGAAAAAAGACAATAGGGGAGGAAAATACAGTACTGGTTTTTGTTATCTACCATTGAGGAGCAGAATTAGGGTGAGAGGAAGAAGAATCCGTAAAAGAAATAGAAAAGGACAATAACGAGAGCTAAGACAGTTTAATAAGAAGAACATTTTAACTTAAAATGGATGGTTGGTGGTGCATGGAGATGAAGAGAATTAAGGAATGAGAAAAGAACTTTGGATTTTGGTCTGGTGACTTGATTAATTTCACTAGTGTGTAGAGGGGTAGCTATGAGATTGAATGTGAAGGGATAAAGGAAATAATTCATCAAATGGGAGTAAAGTTATTTAGAATATCCTCTTTTTAATGTCTGCAGGATAGGTCATGATATCTCCTTTTTTATTTCTTACTGTTTTGCGTGCCTTCTCTTTTATCAGCCTTGCTAAGCTGTCTTAAATTTTTGTTTCTTTCTTCTGGTCCTTTTGAGTTTACTTTACTTTTCTTCTTCTAACTTCATAAGAAAGATGCTTACTTAGGTCAGTAATTCTCAGATGGAAGCTCAGCTTTCTTCTTTTGTAATATATTCATTTAAGACTACAATTTTCCTCTAAATACTACTTTGACTGCACCCCAGTTTTTGATATGGAGTACTTCCATTATTGTTCTTTCTTTTAGCAAACACTTATGTGCCTATGTGTATACCAGGCACTGCAGTAGATGCTAAAAGTGAAGGATAAAGCATAATACCAGTCCTTAAGGAGTTCACGGTCTACTTGCAAATTTGATAGGCAAGTCGTTGTTGTTGTTAGGTGCCATCAAGTCAGTACCGACTCATAGCGACCCTGTGTACAACAGAACAAAACACTGCCTGGTTCTGGATAGGCAAATAGGTAGTTATTATATAATCAGATAATAAATGTTGCTTTTGAGCTCTGTAGATACAAGGAACTATCACAGGACAAACTTCCTCACAGAGTCAGGAAAGGCTTCATGGAGGAGGTGGGATGACACACTTTCCACCTCCATCCATTTTTTCCCTTATGAATTTAACAAATATTTGTTAAGCATCTATTCTGTGTCAAACCTGGGGGCTGGAACTTCAAGGCGGATGCTTTAGTTATCTAACATTGCTGTAACAGAAATAAAGCTGGCTACAACGGATGACTTTAGCAAACAGAAGTTTATCCTCTCACAGTGTAGGAAACTAGAAATCCAGGTTCAGAGCCCAACTCCAGGCGAAGGCATTCTCTCTGTGTCAGCTCTGGAGAAGGGTGTTTATCTCCCTTCAGCTTCTGTAGGCCCAGCAGTCCTTGGAGATCTCCGCATATCTTGGCATCAAATCTTCCTCTGCATCTAGGAGCTTCACAGTGCAGGAATCCAAGTTCAAAGAACTTACTTCCCTCTTTGCTCTTTCTTGGTGGTAGTGGTGGTGGTGGTGGTGGTTATGTGCCGTGGAGTCAGAACTGACTCATAGCAACCCTGTATAGGGTTTCTGAGGCTATAAATCTTTATGGGAGCAGAAAGCCTCATCTTTTTCCATGGAACAGCTGGTAGTTTCAAATTGCTGTCCCTGAGTTTCGCAGCCCGATTCATAACCACTATGCTACCAGAGCTCCTTGACACCTATTTTAGAAAGACACAATTCAGTCTGTGGGCAGATGATAACAAAGATTCAGGAGAATGGGATACGGTGGGGGCAGGATCTCTGAAGAACATCAGTCTGCTTTTGTAAAGGCACGGAAGCACAAGGGCATGAAAAAGCTTGATGAGGCTGGAGCGATAGGGAATAGCTAGTTCCCAAAGGACTTTGTATGCTATGGAAAAGTGTCTGGAATGAGAAGCCAATGTGGAATTTAAGCAAAGAAATAACATTAACACGTTTTTGTGTTGGAAATACCCTGAAAGTATATTTTGATCTGAGAGATAAGTTATCAGTTAAGAGACTGGTGGCCAAGATTCAAAGCAAGAAGGATGGTGAGTGTGAAATGATGGCAGTAGCTTGGTTGGAATCAGCAGGATTCTGTGACTCTAGTATCCTGGAGAGTAAGGAAAAGGCATCACGGACCCATCCAGGTGTCTGACCCGTGAGACTGCGAGGAGAGATGGTGGGTGGGTAGATGGTAGTGCCATTGACCATTACAACAAATGCCCAAAGGGGAACGGGTCTTGGTAGAGAAGGTCTCAGTTTGTTTTTGGATAGCATGATTGTCCCAAAGAGAGTGCTAGCCAAGAGCATCTGGTTTAAGGAATAATCAGAGGACCATTTCTGGAAGTCCAGAAGGGGTCAGGACCACAGTTACGGTCCCCTCGTACAAGTTGTAAAAAGGTGTCTCTGCTGGGCAGACTGTTTTTTTAGTTATTTTCCAAGATTTTTACTTGTATGTGATACGATTGACATTGCTTGATGATTTTCACATTCCATTGGGCCACCTTTCTTTAGAATGGGCATAATTATGGATCTTGGAAGTACAGTCGGAATGCTTCTTAGAAGTGAGAATGGCAAGACTTCGTCTCCCATTGTTTGGACATGTTGTCAGGAGGGACCAGTTCCTGAAGAAGGACATCAGGCTTGGTAAAATGGTGGGTCAGAGAAAAAGAGAAAGAACCCCAACAAGATAGATTGACACAGTGACAGCAACAACAGGCTCAAACAACAATTGTGAGTGTGGCGCAGGACCGGGCAGCATTTCATTCTGTTGTGCAGAGGGTCGCTGTGAGTTGGAACAGACTGGACAGTGCCCAATAGCAACAACTGAGCAGACCAAGTAGAAAAAGACATCCCTACTTCATAATAGACACAACCACATTGCTGGAGCTCAGCCTCATCATTCCCCAATGGCTGGATACAAGTTGTCTAGCCGTACACAAGAGCATTGGGGCTTACTAGGGCTTAGAGATGTGCCTAAAGGCTCAACCCATTGTTCCCCATGGAAAAGGATGCAGTAGACAGGAAGAGCGTGGGACTTGAATGGGGAGGCTTTCCAGTCAGAACAGAAAGGTCTCGTGGTTAGGTCTCTCCAGTGGGTTACATTTCATCGGTTTTCTCTTTGGAAAGAATTACTGTAAGCCTTATCTGTCACTTCAAGGCAGTGTGAGGATTAATTGATGTATATGAAGTCTCTGAGGCATCTCTGTATAGCTCATGGCAGAAGGTGTAGCACAGAGGTGGCACCACCCAATGGTAAAAGCAGGATTAAGGTAAAAGGAACAGTACCTGGTGATAAACTGTGAGAGTATCCTTGTTATGCCTGTTGATTTGTGAGAATGATGATGTTTTAAAGTCTCAGGGAGGGGAGTGGCAGGGCTGGGCAGTGGGAACAGATGGAAAGGGCATTGATCAGAAGTTTATACTGGGGCATGAAGAACTTAGAAGTCAACTATGTTGGAATGCTCCATGTAGGGAGTGTTGAAGACTTGGAGTTGAAGAGCCCAAACCAGCCAGGGGTACCTGAAAGGAGTCATCTGGCAAAGAGTCAGCCCTTAACTCATGGGCTTGGGAAAATGTTGACTGGGGAGGAGAAAATGGTCATGGTGTAGGGCCCGGTCATAATAGCAGTGACTTGAAGAAGTATGATGGAAGATGGTGTGGAATTCCAGGGTCCAACATAAGGATGCTAAGCTTGGCATCCTATAGGCTTTTCTTTCCCCTGCTCTGTAAGTCTGCATGAAGAGTAAGTAGAAGTGGAGGGGTTTTTTGAAAGCAACACAATAGGTGATATGTTTTGAGGGAGAATCCAGATTTCATTCAGGGAAGAGACTAGGAGGAAGAGATGCACCGTAAATGAGTGTGTCTCTGAGATTTGATGGCTCGGTTGATGAAGAACACATTTGTTTTGGTGTTGTGGCGTCAGGTAGATGAGATCTCAACATTCTGTTCAATGACTGGAGAAGTCAGAAACCCCAAGACATATGCTTCTAGCCACTTACCTTTCAACTAAGGAAAAAACTTATTCCCATGTGACACATCGTTCCAAGCCTGAAGAATCCAAAACAGTAGCCAAGTGAGCCAGAGCAAGGCAGAGCTTGAATTCAAATCAGACAGCCATGACTCCAGCACTTGGTATTTCATAAGAATCTTTTACACACAGCGCCCCACAGTCTCCGTATCACAACTCAGTGTGGTAGGTGAAACCACCTTTGTTGTCAAGAGCTCTCAAGTCAATTCCCACTTATAGTTACCCTGTATAGGGTTTCCGAGGAGTGGCTGGTGGGTTTGAACTTGCAGTTCACAGTCTAGTGCTTATCCTACAACACCACACCAGGACCTGAATTTTACAGATGACAAAATTGAGTCACCAAAGTTTCTAGAAGAAACTGGAGCCATTCCTCCAAGACATCAAAATTGATTGGTTGGATGTCTGTGGATGTCTGTGGCCTTCAGTGGAAGGCAGTGAAGGTCCTGCAGGGGAATTCATCTGCCCCTTCCTCAGGACCCTGAGACTGGGGTAGAGGCAGGACCTGGCCTGCAGACACTGATGACCCTGCTGTGTTCACTCGAGTACGTGTGTTTGTGAGCAAGGAGTATAAGTGTGTGGGAGGGCTGTGGAGTCCATCTCTTTGCTCTGTGGTCATACCCAGCACACATATGTGTGTCTGTGTGTGGGCCTGGAAATATTCAGTGGATGACTCTCACAAACAGGAATTTACTGTCAGTTTGTTGTTGTTGTTAAGTGCCATGGAGTCAATTCTGACTAACAGACCCTGTATAGGGTTTCTGAGGAGCATCTGGTGAATTTGAACCTCTGACCTTGCGCTTCAAACCGACCTTTTGGTAGAGTGTTTTTCCTACAGTGTCACACCAGGACTCCAGTCTCTCATTTTGGAGGCTAAAAGTCTGAATTCAGGGTACAGGCTCCCTCTGTTGGCTCTGCAGGAAGGCTCTTGCCTCTTCAGCTTCTGCTCTGGGCAGTTTTCATGTGGTTTGGCATCTCTGCTTGTTTACGTATTGTTTATATCTCAGAAGAGATGGATTTGAGACACATCCTACGCTAATCTGGTCTCAAAAAATGGACAGAGATAACCATAACAATGTTGCTAAGTGCCATCGAGTTGGTTCCAATTCATAGCAACCCTGGGTTGGGTTTCTGAGGCGCGGCTAGTGGGTTTGAACTGCCACCTAGAGGTACAAATTGACCTTGTGGTCCATTGCATTGTCCTGCAGTGTTATACCAGGACTCAGCCGTAAGCATAGAGGTTAGGATTTACAGCACCTATTTGGGGACACACAGTTTAATCCATACAGCGGTCCTGTGACCGAATCACCTGGTTCGGGTCATCACTTAGCTTTGTCCTGTTCGTGTCTAAGGGCAGAGGACAAGGGTGCACCTATGGCTGAAACTGTAACCTCAGATCATACTCAGCAGTGCTTTTTGTTAAGTTTCATCGAGTCAGTTCTGAGTCATAGCAACCCTGTCTGGGGTTTCCAAGGAGCGGCTGGTAGATTTGAACCACCAGCATTGCGGTTAGCAGCCCAGTGCTTATCATATACCACCACAGCAGTGGTCATGGTTAAGTGCCATCAGCTGGTGGGTTTCCAGGGAGCAGCTGGTAGGTTTGAACCTCTGACCCTGTAGTTGGCAGTCAATTGCTTATCCTACAGTGCCACCCCAGAGCTCCACAGCAGTGGTTAGTTGCTGTGTAATCTAAAGTCTTTGTGCTGAAGTGGCTTAGGAGTTGGGTGGTGTGGAGTTTGGTGTAGCTTCAGGTTTGACCCTCTTGTCTGTCACCATCGTGATTGGGTGAGGTCAGGGAGCACCATGTAGTTACAGTCAAAGACTTGTCTCAGCAGTAAAGGTAGAGCCTGGGGGGAAACTGAGAAAGGAATACATCCGGAGTAGCCCAGGGCTCAGTGTGTCTGTCTCCTTCCTCCTGCAACAGGTGAGAAGAAGGAAGGCTGGTCATGGGAGTCCTACCTAGAGGAACAGAAGGCCGTCACTGCCCCTCTCAGCCTCTTCCAGGACGTGAGTTGGACAATTTCTACCGAGGAAGAGCCTGTCTCCCAGGCCAGGGACTCGGCACCAAACTCAGGTCTTCTGGGATTTTCCATGTCCAACTTCCCTCATGGACTGGCAGAATGGAAGGGGGTCCAGAGTAAACAAGGGTACGCTGTAAGGGGCTTCCAGGATGGGAAGAAACCCAGAGGTGGAACACAGGTCTTTTAAATTCCAGTGCCTTTTTGCTCAGCTCTGCACACCAATCTCTCCTTTACTTGGGAAATAGGGAGCCCACATTTGTAGGGGCTCTGGGAGCTCTTCTGCCCTTCACTGGATCTCTGCATTACAGATCCCCAAATAAGCTAACTCCTTGGCAGTTCCTGGCGGGTGGGGCCTCAAGGCAGCACCTTTACCCCAAGCCCACTTGGCATGGATAAGAGTGGATGGAAGCTGTGTGCTCTTCAATCTGTGTGTTGACAGTACCAGGCGGTTACGCAGAACAAGAATGGCTTCAAACTGGGCATGAAGCTGGAAGGCATTGACCCTCAACACCCGTCCATGTACTTCATCCTCACTGTGGCCGAGGTGAGCTGACCACCACGGTAGTCTCTGTGGAATGTTATAACTTCACATCATCCAGTATATGATAGATGACAGAGAGTTTGGGGCCATGGAGAACCTGAACTCAGATGAGAGAGACACTGCCCTGCCCTTGGAAAGCAGTCTAGTAGGGGGGTTAAGTAAACGAAACTATAAGCCGTAGGTGAAGTGTTGAGGGCTGTGATTTTCCTGAATGAGTACATCTTAGTGCTTGGGGAGCCTGAGGAGGAGAGATCCAAGGCTGGAAGTGTTGATGTAGCCAAACAAGTTCCGTGCTTTCTAGTAGCCACAGTTATGCTAGGAGCAGATGAGCACAGCGGTGACTTAGGGGTGTGACAGTTGGTAGCAGGGAGATACAGAGAGTAAGTTCTGCCTGAGGGGGCAGCAAAGAGTGTCCTTTATGAGTCTTGACAGGTGAGTTGGGAATGAGTAAGACATTCCAGGCAGCAGCAGCAAAGTGGGCTCTGGGGGCATGGAATAGGCCACCATATTCCAGAAACTGCCATTAGCTCCGTGAGCACGTGAGGAGCAGCAGGAGAAGGTCACAGAGGAAAGGTGATCAGGAGCCCTGAGGTGTTGCCCAGGGCTGGAAAGGGCAGGGGAACGTCCTAGAGAGTCTTGCACCCAGAATTCTTAGGGATCTTAACAGCTGGGCTGTCATTGTTGGATGGGAGAGTGGGGCAAACATAGGTGAAACTTGGACGTGAAGAAAGGTGGAGATGGGGAGCTGGCATGCTCTAAAGTCCCTCAGACCACCAGGCTGGGCCAGGAGAGGTGAGGGGAGGGAGTGGGGCGTCTGCTGGCATTGGAGTTCCTGTGATTCCCCCTAATGGGACCAGGTGTGTGGCTACCGCCTCCGTCTACACTTTGATGGTTATTCCGAGTGCCACGACTTCTGGATCAATGCCAACTCCCCTGACATTCACCCTGCTGGCTGGTTTGAGAAGACGGGGCACAAGCTGCAGCCCCCCAAAGGTAAGGCCTAGCTGTATTGGGTCACAGGCAGTGAGTCCTTAGGTCCTATCCTTGGTCCATCTCCTAGCTTCACATTTTCTAATCCCTGCTGCCCAGGACTCTGCCCCAGGTCCAGGTTGACCAGAAATCCCAGGGCTTCTGCTTTGGCCTTACCTTTTGAGTGTCCATCAGTTCATGTCCTGCTGCTTACGGGGGCATGCTGGGCATGTTCTAGAGGGGCTGTGGGGTCCTCAGACCTGCCTGATTTTGCTGCTTCCATGGGGTGCCCTCACCTCAGCCCTGCCCCTGTCTACACGACACTCTTTTGTCCCCCCCTGAGGGGCCTAGGTTACAAGGAGGAGGAGTTCAGCTGGAGCCTGTACCTGCGCAGCACAAGAGCTCAGGCTGCCCCCAAGCACCTGTTTGTGAGCCAGAGCCACGTGAGTGCCCCTGAGCGACAGTGACATCCACCCCCTGGGACGAGTCAGACAGGAGCTCATCTGTCAGCGCACCCAGCTTTGTTATGGTCTCATGCTAAATGGGAGAACAGCAAGGCAGGGGCAAGGACCCCAGGGACACTGCTTCCCTCCACAGAAATCCTCTCCTTCCCATGTCCCCTCAGAACCACTGGCCCACTCACTCTCAGCCTGGCACTGACATGTCATCATTCACATAGCCTGGCTGCCTGGCTTTGGTCTGTCCTGCCGTTCTTTGGCAAAGCCTCTCTCCTGGGAGCATCATTTCCCTAACTTCACCCCCCACCCCCCACCTCTCCGCCCCCCCACCAACTTTTGACCAAAGCTGAAACTCTCCCAATCATTCCCAACAGCTCACTGCTTGTCTTTCTCTGTTCAAGACCTCTGGCAGCTTTTCCCAGCACTTATGGTTTCCCCTGTTAGAAATCTGCCACTATCAAGAGACACCGTCCTCTGAGACCTGGGGCTCCACCATCCTGTTGAGCAGTGGCCATTGCTTTCCCACCCAGACCAGTCATACCTGTAGGTAGCTAGTGGGGTCCCACTCACTGCTCTGACAGGTACTACAGACTTTGAGCCAAACCTGTTGAAATCCTCACAGCACTACTGACTAGTACATGGTCCTGGGCAAGTCAGTTCACTGACTTTCCTTCCCCACCACCTGCTACTGACCCACTGCCTCAGCCCAGGCCTGGCCAGGCTTGTGTGAGTAGGGGGAGACTTGGGCTCAGCCTGCCAGATGCTGGGTGAGTGGCTAGCTTTCTGCCAATGACTTTTCTTCTGTCACAAGGCTTCCACTGAGCACACTTAAGTTCCTGAGAGGCTCGGGATGATGATCCTGTCCCCCACTCATGGCTCCCAGGCATGGCTTCTCTTTGCCAGGGAGCTCTAGTCTGGCACTAGGTGGCCTGGCACCAACTGGCAGCAACCGCTTTTTCTTTTTTGAAAGAAAAATTTTGCTGATAGATCTAAACATTTTTATTTGTCATTGTTGTTGAGAATATACACAGCAAAACCTACACCAGTTCACCAGTTTCTACGTGTCGAATTCGGTGACACTGATAACATTTTTTGGGTTAGCAGCCATTCTGACCCTCCCCCAATCACATAAGTCACTGCCCCCAAACTTCCTCTCTGATCTGCTGAGTTGCAGCCCCTCCTCTTGCCCCCAGAGTCCCCCACCCCTGGGCTTCCAGGTGGGCATGAAGCTGGAGGCTGTCGACCGCATGAACCCATCCCTCGTCTGTGTGGCCAGCGTGACCGACGTGGTGGACAGCCGCTTCCTTGTGCATTTTGACAACTGGGATGATACTTACGACTACTGGTAGTGAGAGGGCCCAGATTTGAGCTGGGGGGAGGGGATGGCGGGGGCAGCTGCTTTCGAACCTCAGACATTCCTAATCTTGCTGGGGTGGGCTAGTTGGGGGCAGAGTTGAGTGTCGTGTAGACTTGATCTATGTTGTAAGAAACACAGCTTCATATTAAATGTTGACATCTAAAAATAGTAAGGGTATGCTGAGCAAAGCCCTGTGACTGGGGAGCACCTCTTAGGTGTCATGGTGGTGTCATACTTTCTGGCTCTCTTGCCGGTCACATCAGTCTAACTCTCACTAAGACATAGGATGAGGGTAAGTCTTGAAGCCATGCTGTCATAGGACAGCAGGCCCAGGGCCTCCGAGTTTCACCTGGGACAGTGTGGTATTCTTGGGTTTCAGGTGTGATCCCAGCAGCCCTTACATCCATCCGGTGGGCTGGTGCCAGAAGCAAGGAAAGCCTCTCACCCCTCCACAAGGTGACCGTCCAGTCTGAGCAGATGCCCTTTCCCAGGCCCGGGCCCATCCTCCCTCTCCCCGATCACCTACCAAGACTTCAATACCTGGGGCTTTAGAGTTAGGGTGAGGGGACAGGTACGTCCTGGAGCCTCAGCTCCTTTGCCTGGGAGTTGAGAACCCTGAATATTTGGGGGGATTACGCAAGTCCTGTCAAACCCTGTCCCCACTGAGGTTTCAGGGAAGAATGTTAGATGACCACTCCTACCAGGGAGCTGGGACTCCACAGCTGAGAACCCTTCCCTACAGGATTCTTAGTGTCACAGGCTTAGATAGGGCTAGGGCTGGAGTGGGAGCAACAAGCCCAGAGGGGTCATGGGAGCCAGGGTTCCCAAGTAGCCCCCTGAACTCTCAGGGTGGTGGTGCTGCTGATTTCTAGTGAGTGCCCCCCGTCAGGAGCTCAGTACAAGGCGCTGGCTGTAGTGGTGGAAGCAGGGAGTGTACTCCAGGCACCTCTGCCCTTCCACTGAGCTCTGCCAGCAACACAGTAGCACCTTAGTGGCTAGACACTGTTCTCAACCTTTCCCCAGACTACCCAGACCCTGATAGTTTCTGTTGGGAGAAGTATCTGGAAGAAACCGGGGCTTCTGCTGTGCCTACCTGGGCCTTCAAGGTGGTGAGTTGACTCTCTGGCTTGAGCTCAGGAAGACGTGGCAACACTCAGGAGGAGACTGGGCTCCTCACCTTCCCCCGCTGTGGGCAGGCAGAACACTCAGGCCTCTCCTTGCCTGATCTGGACTTTGGCTGAAGACAGCTCTTTCCCTGCAGCGACCGCCCCACAGCTTTCTGGTCAACATGAAGCTAGAGGCTGTGGACCGCAGGAACCCGGCCCTGATTCGTGTGGCCAGTGTGGAAGATGTGGAGGATCACCGGATAAAGGTGATCCTGGGACTCTGGGGCAGGGATAGTGGACCAGCCAGCTGGGAAGAAAGCTTGGAAACTGGTCTGCAGTGAAAGACTAGCATGAGGCAGACAACCATCTGGGAGGCTGCCCACTGGGGGCAAAGAGCTTCTTCAAACTGGCAGCTGAATATCTCAGCTCTTGTGTTTGCCTCATCTCTGACCTACCTTTGTGGGCAGAGGCAAATCACTTTCCCTCCCTGAGCCGTAACTTTTCATTTCATTTTTCCCCTCGTTCGGAAACTAAGCACACTCATGAGAGCTTGTAAGCCAGCCACTTCGTGCCTTTATAGCACCCCGTGTTTGATAGCCGATGTCTAAATTGCCTGTCCCTGTCAACCCAGTGCACTGAGGAAACAAGCTTGATCCTTGATGTGACGAATCCTTCCATTTGGCTTGGAATTTTGAGCAACCGCAGGCATAAGCAAAAGTACGGTTCATCAAATTGTAGCAATTTACACTTGCTCCCAGTATCAAGCATCTTTAGCTTCATCTGGTTGAGTTCTGAGCCTCAACTTTTTCATGGGTAAAATGGGACTGAGAATCCTTGTCTTGCTCAAGGATTGCTAGGAGATGCCAGTAACTTCATACCTTTAGTCAATGTGGTGGTCCAGAGGGATGGTTCTGGGTGGGAACCCTTGGTTCTTCCAATCCAGGATTATGCTTCTGACAGGCCCCGGGGCTGGGGCGAGCCTCCTGGAGCCTGAGAAGCTCCCAGCTGAGCCGAGCTCCACGAGGAATTTCTGACCTCCAGGGGCCTTCCTCCCCAGCTGCACTTTGATGGCTGGAGCCACACCTACGACTTCTGGATTGATGCCGACCACCCCGACATCCACCCCGTGGGCTGGTGCTCCAAGACAGGACATCCCCTGCAGCCTCCTCTCCGTGCGTAGCCCTGGGATTCCCTGACCCTTTCCCACTGAGAGCTGATCACCCTCCCTTCCTGTCGCTTGTTCAAGGACCTCTGACCACCATGCCCAGGTCTGACACAGGGCTCTGGTGCACCTCATCTTTGCCAGCGATGGGAGCGTCTGTCCCTCAAGTTGTCTGGTTTGAGGGAGTTGAGGGGAAGTGAGTGGCTCATTGGGAGCATATGTTTAGGAGGCAGCCCTATGCCAGGGAGTTGTCTCAGCATCTGATACAGCCACACAGAGTGTGAGTGTGTTGGCTAGGAAAAATGGCACCCTGAGAGAAGACTCGTCCTCCGCATAGGCAGGGACTAGGGTCACACCACTGGACTTTCAGCCCCAGTTCTCATCTTCAAGATTCCCTTGCCTTGGAGTCCTGGTGTGGCACTGTAGGCTAAGTGCAAGGCAGGTGTGAACCACGAGGTTGTCAGACTCACCGGGTGCTCCTCGGAAACCCTATAGTGGGTCGCTATGGGTTGTCATGGACGCGACGGCACTTAACAACAACCTCCCTTCTGCCACCATGCTAGTTCCCCAGGAGTTGTCAGTCCTTCTCTGACATTCTCCTGCAAGCAGGGGCAGAGTCTGGGGAAAAATGATCAAGTTTTAGGAATGAAAATGAGAAAAAAAATACAGAGAATCATCAAGATTGCCCAGTGTGATACAGCTGTGTTCATACCAGCTCAGGCTTGACCTCCCTGCAAAACCACTTTGCCTCAGAGACCAAGGGCCTGGTCTGTATGAGAAGCTAACAGTGGGGCAGGAACTGAGGTGCACAGCAGGAAATGGTGCACAGCCCTGCACAGGGCCCCTGCCCCTGGAGAACTAATTTCTAGGGCTGCCCTTTCCCATGGAAGCTTGCTTGCCCTCTCTTCTCCCCATCCCAGAACTATCTGTTGACTCTCCTTCCTGCTTCTTCAGGACCCAGAGAGCCCAACGCCACATCCCCTGGGGGCTGCCCCGCTCTCAGCTATAAGAGCCTGCAGCACACTAGGACCTCCAAGTACAGCTTCCATCACCGGTGAGTGAGGGGCTTGTGTTCAGGAGTCCACAGGGTCTGTGTTGCACTGATTGGGGCCAGGGTTATGGAAGGAGGGCACAGTGGGGACCGTGCATCCAGCCCAGCTGATGCCTCCTTCTTCTCCAGGAAGTGCCCTACTCCTGGGTGTGACGGTTCTGGCCACGTTACAGGCAAGTTCACTGCCCACCATTGCCTCTCAGGCTGCCCGCTGGCGGAGAGGAACCAGAGCCGCCTGAAAGCGGAGCTTTCGGACTCGGAGGCCTCCACCCGGAAGAGGAACCTCTCAGGCTTCTCCCCAAGGAAAAAGCCTCGCCATCATGGCCGGTGCGGAAGGCAGGGTGTCAGGGCCGGGGCTTCCCTAGGCTTGGGGCCTCTTGGCTTCTTGGGCAAGACCATATGCTGATTTCCCTGCTCTAGACCTGGTCTCTCCTTCTCCAGGATTGGCCGCCCCCCAAAGTATCGGAAGCTTCCTCAGGAAGATTTCCAGAGTAAGTCCCAGTCATCTGACCCCATGTCCTCCACAAAGTGTTCACAGTGGCTGCTCAATAACTTGTGGGATGAATGGCCAGTAGAGTTCTGAGGTGATGGGAGATGGATGGGAGGCTGGGAGGTAGAGCTGTGAGGTACAGCCATGCCCATATCAGTGCTGGTTCCTTCTCCCTGAACATTCTTTCTCACACAGACCAAGAGCGTGCTCTGTGGGTTGCAGCAAAGTCTGTAAGAACCAAGTTCATTCTTAGCCTCACTATGAGTCTGTCGGGGACAGAACCTCTCTGGGCCTCTGGTTCTCCTCTGTGAAGCAGGGTGATGCCTCCCAGCTCTGCTCTTCTCTGCTTCTAGGATTCCTGGGAGGGAGGCCATGACTGTCACTTCCAAGCTGTGTCACTTTGGGCAAGTCACTTGACACTTGATCTTTAGTTTCCTCATGTGAAAGCACAGATAGTATCTGCCTTTCTAGTATCAGTGCTTGAAATAATAGTAGTCTAGTCGCTGCTCCCATTGATCGAAAACCTACCCTAGGCCAGCACTGTGACAGACACTTTACATAAACTCGACCTCTCACAAGCACCTGTAGTGTGGATATTGTTCTCATGAGGCACAGCGGATGAAGTCACTTGTCCAAGGTCACTCAGCTTGTTAAGGCAGAGCTGATACTCAGATTCAGGTGACATCGCTGGTACTAACACACTTGACCTTTAATATCATGTAAATTTGCCCTCACTTGGAAATGATTGTGAGCAAACCCCTGGTGGTTGTGGTTGTGTACTGTGGAGTTACTTCCAATGCATGGTGACCCATGGTGACCCTGTATAGGGCTTCCTGAGGCTTTAAATCTTTATGGGAGCGAGCAACTGGTAGATTCAAACTGCTGACTTGCAGTTAGCAGCCCAGCTCATCATCCACTACGCTACCAGAGCTCCATGAACCAACCCCCTGGTCACAGCAAATTCTTCAACACAATCACCTTTACTTGTTGCATCTGCAGCTGTTAAATCCTTGAAAAGGCTTCAAGCCTTTTCTTGCTCTGAACCAAAACCCACCACTATTGAGGATTTCTGAGACCATAAATCTTTACGGGAGCAGACTGTCTTTCTCCCCCACAGCGGCTGGTGGGTTTGAACCACTTGACGTTTTGGTTTATAGCCAAGTACTTAACCACTGTACCATCAAGACTCCTGTCTTGCACTAAAGTAAGAACCATATGGACCTTGTTCCAGCACACCTATCAGATCTACTTGCAGATACATTCAGGAACTGATCTTGTTCATAACCCAGGGACTGCCTCTATACCAAACGTAAAGCAGCTCCCCCAGATGTCAGTTCACATCATGTCCTCTCAAGGGAGGGGCAGATTGATCCTTCCTCAGGGTGGGGTGTGACCTCATCTCCTGTCTACAGCCGTTTAGCATAGGACCTGACACACAGCAGCGATGCTGGGAGTCTTGCTTCTGTTGGCTGGAATGCACATCCTTCTCAGGCAGCTAGAAGAGAAACCACCTAGTGGGCCACACATTCAGAGCAGGGCCTGAGCTCTTCCAGTTCCTGGGTAATAAATAGAAGCATGATTGAGAGCACAGCCTACTTACTACAGGCTGTGAGACCTTGTGCAAGTGAACCTCTGGCCTCAGCTTCCTTGTCAGTAAACTACAATAATATAGTACCTACCTCGTAAGATGGAGCCCTGATGTGGTGCTGTGGGCAAGTGTGTCAGGCTGCAAAATCGTTTGAACTGCAAGGTTGGTGGTTCAAGTTCACCAGCTGCTCCTTGGAAACCCTACACAGGGTCGCTATGGGTCAGAATCAACTCGACGGCACTTTAACAACAACAACAACGCCTCATAAGATGGGGAGAAGTATAAACAGGATAATTCACATGCTGTGCTTAGCACAGTTACCTGCTGGAATAACTAGTCTTCCTGGCCTCTTGTCTGTCTCCTCGTGCTGCAGTTCCATATTATTTCCTCTCGGGGAAAGCAGGTAATTCCTGCAGCCTCAGACCTGAATCCTCAGAGTGAGGATTCCTAGACCTCTCCTGCTTGACAACTTGGTACCCAGGTCACCTTCCATTGCAGGGCAACATTGTGACCACCAGAGGGTGCTTGCCTCCTGAGTTCATTCTAGAACTAAGCTGTGGAACTGCGGCCTAGAAAGTGAGGAAGGATTTGCCCAAGGCCTGGAGGCACATCAGGACCAGAGCAGGGGCAAGAGTCCAAGTGGGTCAGGGCTCTCCTGCTCCACCAGCCTGCCCTGGCACAGACGGAACACTGGCCATTCTGGGTTGTGTTCCACATGTCTGGGCAGACCTCAGCAGAGGCACCAGGGTTTGCTGGTGAACAGCTCCAGAGGAAGCCAGCTCTGAGTGCGCAGAGGCTGGCTGTGCTCACCCTGCTCATAGAGCCATTGGAGCCCCATGAGGGTCAGCTGTTTGAAAGAACAGGAACTGTTTCTGACCTGCAGTTAGATGGTTTAATAAGAGACCCTAGGTGCCTGTGAGAGCTCGTGTCCTTATGACCAGGGGAAGAATGAGGAGGAGGGAAGCTGCCTGCAAACATGTTCCCCAGCAACCCAAGCCCTGCACCAAGGTGAACCAGACCCAGGGCTTCACAGAGGGAGTCCCTGTGAGGACGCGAGGCCAGCCTTGTGGATGACAAGTATTTGTGATGGTAACTTCATGATGGGAGATGCTGAACACTTCCTAACGTGGTCCTGGGAGGAGCTGGTTTGAGCTATACAGAGGCACCAGGCTCCTTGGTGAGGGTGAAGGTCGGGGAAGAGCTCAGATTTGGGCTGATGAGCAGAGAGGAGACAGAGTCAGAGCTGTCAGTGGGGCTGGGAATGGAATTCCAGAAGTTCTGAATGTGATTGTGAAACACAAGAGAGTCGAGGGGGAAAGCGAGGTCAGTCTGAGACAGGCAGGGAAAGGCCTTTGAGAAGAGGGTCATGGAGGTGCTGTACCCAGCAGTGAGGGGAAGAGCCATCTCTCCGGCACTGAGCAAGCTCCCTAGGCAGCATGTACAGGCTTCTGGAGGTGAGGGAAGCCAGGTTTGTTAGAGCAGCTTGAGGTAAATGTGATACAAGTGGACAAGTGCCAAAGGAAGAAGCATCCATCTTCAGATCCATAGACCTATTTCAAGGCTGGCAGGCAGGAGCCAAAGATTCCAGGAACAGATCAGGAAGCAAAGTGACAGCCAACACGGAGTTGGCAGATAGTCCAGGATCACGTTCTAGGTGCCTGAGTAGGCAAGTGCCAAAGCAGACGAGGCTGATGGAGTAGGGGAGAAAACTGGGGCTTGAGGCCAGAGGGTGGGTTTCGAACTAAGTTGGGTAAGAAAATTGGTTGAATCCCAAAAGAACTTAGGAAAAAAAGGACAAACAGAATAGCTTTTGGTGTCACTGCTAAGCTTGCTTGGATGCTGGGAATTGTTTGGATGTCAGGTATCTAGCAAACGGTGCCTTCTGGGATGCTCTAGTGCCCAGGTGATGAAAAGTGGTCTCCGGAAGCTCACGGGCTCAGACAGGGAGGTAGAGTCATTTCACACAGCTGACCTGGAGTCTGTAAAGTGACGGGCCCACCACCAGAAGCACTGGGTCAGGACTGAGGAGACGTGGGCCACCCTCTTAGCTCTGTCAGAGCACCACACTGTTCTGCCAGCCAGTCTTCCCAGTGGCATGGCTCTGAGCAGACCTTGGGGACCAAATGAGTCCTCTCTGCCTTCCAGACCTCACCACCGATGTTATGCACCAGTCCCTCTTTCTGTCGGCCTTGTCGACCCACCCAGACCGCTCCCTGTCTGTGTGCTGGGAACAACACTGCAAACTGCTGCCGGGAGTGGCAGGCATCTCGGCCTCCACGGTGGCCAAGTGGACCATCGATGAGGTGAGGAGTCAGAGGCCCTTTTTTCTTCTTTTGCTCCTCCCCTGCTTCTCCCCGTCACCACACTCTGGTGGGAGGGCCCAGGAGAGGCCTTCTCTGGCAGAGATGGACAGTGCTCCTACTCATCTCTACTGACCACACTTCTAGTGCCCCCATGGGTGGGGGTGGCAGGTGTTGTTCATCTGGCTGGAAATCCAGCAGGGACGCCAGCTCGTGGGCCCCACCTCAGCTGCCCAGCAGCACAGAGACACAGGACCGTGTTAGGATGGTACGAGAAAGTGATTCCGTCATAGCTCAGAAGGCACCGAGGCCACAGCCCCCAGCTCCTTGTCAATGTGTCTTCTTTGGTCTCCAAGGTCTTCGGCTTTGTTCAGACTCTGACAGGTTGTGAGGACCAAGCACGACTCTTCAAAGATGAGGTAAGGTGCACATGCATAATGGGTGACAGAGAAGGGGTCACTGTGTCCCCCCAGCACTGTCCCCAGCTAGCCACACCTGGATGAGACGAGTCATAGTTACCCACATTTCTGGAGAAAAGCCCATACCAGAGCTTTGGCTAGGAGAACTGGGGTCAGAGCATCCTTAGGGAGAGAAAGTGTTTAGGAGGCAGAATTCTATTCATTCTTCTGCTCTCTGGCCCAGTTTTTTGTTTTCCAAATTTAGCTCCACTAGGAGTCCTGGTGTGGCTCTGTGAGTTAACGCTCCAGACTGCAAAGTTGTTTGAACTGCAAGGTTGGCGGTTCAAGCTCACCAGAAGCTCTTCGGAAACCCTAGACAGGGCTGTTATGGGTGGGAATCGACTCGACAGCACTTCACAACAACAATGACACTCACTAAATTAAAGCATATTTTGAAAAGCAGAGGTATTGCTGTTTGCTGCAGGGCTCCTAACACACAAAATCCAGACCCAAGAGCTTACCAAAGATAAGCAGTGAGTTAGTAGATAAAAGAATGCCAACTTCATAACTTTGGAGAGTCTGCATTTAAATCCTGTTGTTGCTGTTGAGGGCCATTCTCACAGCGACCCTGATTAGGGTTTCCAAGCAGCAGCTGGTGGGTTTGAACCCCCGACCTTGCAGTTAACAGTCCAGTGCCAATCCTACAGCACCACAACAGGATCCTGCATTTAAATCCCAGCTCTGCCAATTTGCACTATTTACTGACTCTTAAGGCAGGGTCTGCCTTCTCTGAAAAGTGGAGATGTAGGGAGCCCTGGTGGATCAGTAGGATAAGCACTGGACTGCTGTCTGCAGGGTCAGTAGTTCAAACCCACCATCCACTCCGAGGGAGAAATGCTTTCTGTTCCCATAAGGATTTACAGCCTCTGAAACCCTATAGAGGATCAGTGTGTGTTGGAATCGACTCAGTGGCAGGGGTCTTGGGTTTTTTGGTGGGTGACATGGTCGTTAAGCATTCAGCTGCTAACCAGGAGATTGACAGCTCCTTGGGAGGATGACCTGGAGAGATGGCAGCCAAGAAAGTGCTGTGGGGCAGTTCTACCCTGTCACATGGATTTGCTCTGAGTGGAAATTGACTCTCTGGCACCTAATCACAACCAAGTGGAGGCAATATGGGTATTGAGCACTGAAAATGACAAATCGTTCATTATACTAGAGTGTCTACTAATCATGTCATTACTATATATAGTAATGGACTCTGGGGTGGCAAGCTAGGATCGGCACTGGACTTTGAACCACAAGGTTAGTGATTCAGACCCACCAGCCGCTCCTTGGAAACCCTAGACAGGGTCATTGAGTCAGAACTGACTCAACGTCCCTTAACAACAGTATTTATTGATGTGTAGCAACATCGTGTTGTATCATTATGTAATATAATTTATCATACCATTCCAGCTCTACAGTAAACGGTAACTAGTTTTCACCCCAAACCTCGTGCTGTCAAGTTTGTTCCGAATCATAGGACAGAGTCGACCCAACTGCCCCACAGGGTTTCCGAGTCTGTAAATCTTTACAGAGGCAGACTACCTCACCCTTCTCCCATGGAACAGGTGGTGGGTTTGAACCATTGGCTTTTCATGTAGTAACTGATCGTTTAGCCGCTGTGCCCCATGACGCCTCTTTTTAAATGCATGTTGTTGTTAAGCACTGTCAAGGTGGTTCTGACTCGTACTGACCCATTATAGGGTTTCTGAGAGTGGTTTTTGGGTTTGAACTGCTGAACTTGCAGTTATCAGTCCAGTGCTTATCCTACAGCACCACACCATGCTTTTTAATGCATGCTGCTGCTCTTCAAGCCATCAAGTCAGTTCTGACTCACAGTGACCCTGTATAGGGTTTCTGAGGTTCTCAGTATTTACAGGAGCATAAGGCCTCATCTTTCTCACACATAGTGGCTAATGGATTCGAACTGCTGTTCTTGTGGTTAGCAACCCAACACATAACCCACTGCACTACCAGGGCTCCTTTAAAGTGCATGTTGTTGTTGTTCAGTGCCATCTAGTTGGTTCCGACTCACAGGGACCCTGTATAGAGTTTCCAAGGAGTGGCTGGTGGATTTGAACCGCAGACCTTACAGCTAGCAGCCCAGTACTTAAACTATGACACCACATGAAGAACAACTGTATTGTGATCCTTGTTGTAGAGTTTGAAACTACAGGAGACCTTCGAGTTTGGCTAGGGCTTCCTTCCAAAGAGAACAGACACCCCTCCTGTGTATCCCATGTGTGGAAACATGTGACTCAGCTGCCTAATCCAGGTCAGATACCGGTAAGAAAGAAGTCTGCTCTCAGCCCCTGTGAAAACCCCCTTACCCAGGGAGACACAGCCAGTTTCCACATACGATCTTCCTTGTGTGACGGAGCTCCCAAACTCCTCCCCACGCCCTGTGCTTTCCTGCCTTCTGGGCTGGTAACCTTATCAAAACTTGTCCAGAGTTTAATCCTGTGTTCCAGATCTTCTGACCAACACAGAACACACTGGGCTGCTTCCTAGCTGTTTTATATTGAGGTATAGTATCCATATAATGAAATGGCCAGATCTTAAAAGTACAATTCCACAAGTTTTATCAAAAATATGCACCCTGAACCCAACTCCTCAGTCAAGACACAGAACATTTCCATTAACGTCAGCAAGTTTCTTGGTGCCTTTTAGTCAGTCTCTTGTCCCATAGACAACCACTGTTGTACTCTCTAGTGCCCTAGATTACTTTTGCCTGTTCTTGAACTCATATCAGTGGAATCATACAGACATGTATTATTTCTGTGCTGTGTCTTTTTGCTCAATCTAATGTGTTTTCGTTTCATCCATGCTGCATGTCCAGCACAGTTCATTTTCATTGCTGAGTGTAGTTTCGTTTTACAAAAAACCCCCACGGTTTTCTTGTTAATGGAGATTTGGGATGTGTTCTCTTTCCCTAACTTTGAACACCCCTATATTTTATTTAGCAGAATATGGTTTGCATTAGCTTTATAATCGCCACACGACACCAATTGGGAGTTCATGAACACACCCCACCCCCCCAAGTGCTTTTGACATCAACTTCAAACCAAGTTTTCCAGTATGTACCCGTACCACTGGGTAATATAAAGCTTTACAGTTATCCCTATTAAATGCTACTTTGTTGGTTTCGTAGTCTCATTGTTTTAAATCTTGATTCTTTCATTTATGATTATCAATAAGCCTTCTGTGTTTTCATCCAAGTCTCCAACATGCAGTCTCCATGAGTCAGAACAGAGCTCTGTGACCATTAGAGAACTACCTTTAGACTGACAACTGGCCACAAGGCTTGTCTGTTGGAGTACATTGTCACTCAGCTGTCTGCACAGCCACTAAAGACCTGGGTCCTCCCAGCCCGCCCTGGCTGTGTCTCCCAGGAGCAGCTGCTGCTTGTCACCTTGGTTCAGCATGGTCTATGATACAAATAAGCAACATCACAGAGGGTCTCATAGTGGAGCAGGACCTTAGTGGGGACCGAGGATAACCGTTCTCCCAGGATCTGGTCCTCATCATCCATTCCCCAGGCAGGACCTTTCTGACTGAGCCTTCCAGGATTTTGGTCAAGATGCTCTGCAGGGACTTTCAGAGCACAGTAGTAGATACCTGGTTTTTTAGATTGTCTAGGCCACAGCTCTTGTAAGTTTATTTAATTGATTCAGCAAATAATTGCCATCAGTCCTCTGTATCTGCAGGTTCAACCAGCCATGGATCGAAAATTGGCGGGGGAGGCGGCTGAGGAGGAAAGACTTAACAAAAGTTATTAAGTGGTCAAAGCAATCCCTCAAAAGTTAAGAGGGGACGAAAGTGATATCTGCATAGCATTTGCATGGTATTAGGTGTTATAAGTAATGTCGAGATGATTGGACATATATAGGAGGCTATGCATAGGTTAAATGCAATATACCTCATTTTATATGAGAATTTGGTATCCATGGGGTGGGGGGTCCTAAGGAACTCTGGTAATGCAGTGGTTACAAGTAGGGCTGCTAACATCACAGTCAGCAGTTTGAAACTACCAGCGGTTCCGCAGGAGAAAGATGAGACTTGCTGCTCTCGTAAAGATTCACAGCCTTGGAAACCCTATATAGGGTTGCTGTGAGTCAGAACTGACTCTACGACACACCACCACCACCATGGGGTTCCTGGAACCGATTCCCTGTGGATACCGAGGGACGACTATATTGATAGCTGCTCTGTGCCTGGCCCCATAAAAGCTGATGAGGATAGACAATAGACACACAGAAGAAGAGATCGCTGCCTAGACGGGAGACAGAATTGTACATTGCTGCCTCTGGTGGTGTGGTAAGAGCTGACAGGTGTGTGGCAGGTGTAGCAGGAGCTCGGAGGAGGAGGTGGACAGGGGAGCCAGCGGTGCAGCTGGATAAACACTGAAAACTTCCTTCTCTTTGAATGGACGCCTTATGGACCTCACCACTGTGTTGTGATAGCATAAAAGTCTCCTCAGTCAGGTCTTGACAGAACCAGTTAGATCATAGCTTGGCCTGTGGTAATCTTTCCTCATGTATGTGTTTAAGGATCTATTCAGGTTACTTCAGTCTGGGTCCTGTTCCGTCCTACCCACAACACTGGACCATTACTTAGGGTGGGTAGATGATTGCATTTGGCTCACTGAATTAATTTTCTTCTTGATTTCTTCTGCCTTCTAGGTCAGGACATGGCCTTTTTTCTGATCTTATCTCATACACCACCACCACCACCCGCCACACACACATTCAGGCACACTCCTGATACTACACATAGGGCATTTATAAATTGTGCGTGTTCGGAGATATTTCCAGCCATCTTCTTACAGATGTCTCAAATTGCGGACCCTCCAGTCTTTGTTTTGAGGAAGCCAGAACCTGGAGCTCTGCAAAGGTGATGGTAAGAAATCTCCAGGTGGTGCACAGGGTCCCACACCAATGGGTTCTCTGAATGATAATAAATCAATTCATGCAAAAATCCACAGTTCATACTTCACTAGGCCTAGGATTCCTTTCCTTCACATTTTGAACTTGAAGAGGTCAAGACCTTTGGTCATGTGGGTGATCCCCCCAGCTTTCTGGACCAGTGTATGTGATTCAGTGGGGCCACTGTCTTGGTTCCCCAGTGCTGGCCGCTATGACAGAAATACTACAGAACAGAACATTGATTCTCCCACAGTCTGGGAGGCTAGAAGTCCGAACCCAGCACTGGCACAAGGTCCTTGTCTCCTTTCAACATCTGTAGAACCAACATCCATGTGTCTTGTCATCATCTTTCCCTGGATCTAGGAGCTTCCCAGTGCAAGGACCCCAGGTCAAAGGACACACTCCACTCCTGGCTCTTCTTGTGGTAGTAGGTTCCCCTTCTCTGACCATTTCTCTCTCCTTTTATCTCTTGTAAGAAAAAAAGGTATTGCAGGCCATACTCCTTGGGATCTCCCTTCCATGGGATCAGATCCTGATGGAATTAAGAATGGTCTTTTCCCCTGCTTGAAAGCAGCAGTCAAGAAATCAAACGACGTATTGCATTAGGCAAATCTGCTGCCCAAGACTTCTTTAAAGTGTTTAACAGCAAAGATGTCAGCTTGAGGACTAAGGTGCGCCTGACCCAAGTCATGGTAATTTCAATAACCTCATATGCATGTGAAAGCTGGACAGTGAATAAGGAAGACCATAGAAGAATTGATGCTTTTGAGTTCTGGTGTTGGAGGAGAATATTGAAAGTGCCTTGGGCTGGAGAAGGATATCATGTTTGGTAAGGTGAAGGGTCACAGAAAAAGAGAAAGACCCCCAGCAAGATGGATTGGCAAAGTGGCAGGATCAGTGGGCTCAAGCATGGCAACAATTGTGAGGTTGGCCCAGGACTGGGCAGTTTTTCGTTCTGTTGTGCACAGGGTCGCTATGAGTCAGTACCAACTCAATGGCACCTAACAACAATCCCCCCTTAATCCTCTTACTGGTTCATCTCATCAGCTCACATCATGGGGGGAAGAATCATCACATACCTGTTGAACCACTGAGAATTACGACCCAGCCACGCTGACACAGATTTTGAGGGGGACACAGCTCAATCCATGAAAGCCACTGAGAGGGAGCCCCACAGCCTGACTAGCACACAGCCTCTGGACCTGGGTGTATCAGTCCAGGGTCAGCAGGGTGGATAAGCTCTGGTGCTTCTGGTAGACCTAGCTAATTCAGTGGAGCTTGTTGAACTGAGAGAGCTCTGTGAAGGACGGAAGCCACCACGGAAGTGGGCAGCTCTGAATACTGGAAGAAGCACTGGGGTTCAGTACGCTGGCTGTGGGAAGGACCTGCAGCCAGGCATGTCAGAGAGAGTCAAGGTCCAAAGGCAGAAAACTCCCAGTGATAAGACAGATCTGTAGCTCAGCTGGCACTGCAGCTGAGTGTGAAGTGGTGGGCAGAGTCAGACTCTGGAGACAGCACCCACTGAGCCGCATGAATTGTGTGCCCAGCATACACTGTGATTAAGAGCACAACTCTTGAATCACACTTAACAAGCCGGGTTTACGTTGAGCAAATTCCTTAGCCTGTCTTATGATTTATAAAGTGGGGTATGGGTGCTGCTGGTACTCCCTCATAGGGTGATTGTGAAGAGTTGATGGAAAGTATGTGGAACATAAGTACTGTTGTGTACCGTCTAGTTGATTCTGACTTACAGAGACCCTGTGTCGGGTTTCTCTGGTAGTGTGATTACAAGTCGAGCTGCTAATCTCACAGTCAGCAGTTTGAAACTACCAGCTGATCTGTGGGAGAAAGATGAGGCTTGCTGTTCCCATAAAGATTTACAGCCTCGGAAGCGTTATTCAGGGCCTCTATGAGTTGGAATCAACTCCATAGCACATCACCACCACCATAGGAGGTTTCTACCAGAAACCATAGGGTTTCTGAGAGTGGCTGATGGGTTTGAACAACTGATCTTGTGATTACTAGTGCCACACCAGGGCTCTGCAAGTACTAGTGTTAAGTGCTGTCGAGTTGGTTCCAACCCGTAGAGACCCTGGAAAGGGTTTCCAATGCGGGACTGGTGAGCTTGAATCACCGGCCTTGCAGTTCAAACCAACATTGCAGCCCAGCGCATTAACCCACAGCGCCACATCAGGACTCCATAGGAAGAACTGTGGTGTTGTTAAGTGCCATCGAGTCGGTTCCAACCCATAACAACCCTGTATAGGGTTTCCGAGGAGTGGCTGGTGAGCTTAAACTGCCGACCTTGCAATTCAAACGGCTTTGCAGTCTGGCGCATTAACCCACAGCACCACACCAGGACTCCATAGAAAGAACTATGTTGTTGTTGTTAAGTGCCGTGGAGTCGGTTCTGTACAGGGTTTCCGAGGCTGTAAATCTTTACGGGAGCAGAACGCCTCAGCTTTCTCCCGCGGAAACCGCTGGTAGTTCAAACTGCTGACCTTGCGGTTCACAGCCTGATTCGTAACCACTACGCTACCAGAGCTCCTAGGAAGAACTATAGAAGTCTCTTATTTGCTGTTGATTATTGAAGGTTGGTCGTAAGTACAATGACACTCTCCTCAAAGGTGGGGTTGCAGTGCTCAGAGTAGGACGTTCTTCAGCCAAATGATGTGCCCAGTCAAGCGCCCCCTGCTGGCAGACATGGCCCCGTTTACCCCTCCTACCCTGACTTCCTTTGCCCCCAGCCCCACACAGCCTCCCCCACCAGCCCTCTTCATCTCCCATGTATTGCTTTACATTTCTTAAATAGCATCGAGTCTAGGTAAGTTCCCTCTCTTTTTTCCCTTATTTCATGACATTGAGAAAGGTCTTGAAGCATGCGCCCTTTTGGTTTGTCTTTGTGGTGTCGCTTAAGTCTTTATGCTAAAAGGTAGATATAAAGGTTTGGATAAAATGAGCTTCAGTTTCTCTGTCTTTGGGGGCAAGAAGAAAAGCTCAACGGTGGTACTGCGAACTTGACATTGCATCACCCTGACATGCGCACAGTGTCTGCTTGTCTCCCTCATAGTGCCACTGACCTTGAGCAGTGGGTTCGTGTGGGGACAGGACCAGCAGGAGGACTCCAAAGACATTTTGCAAATAGTTGTTAAGTGCCATCAAGTCGGTTCTGACTCAGAGTGACCCAGTATAGGGTTTCCAAGGACCAACTGGTGGGTTAGAACTGCCAGCCTGTGGTTAGCAGTCCGGTGCTTCTCCTATGGTACCACACCAGGACTCCTTTGCAAATAGAAACGCTGCCATTCAGCCCAATCAGCAGAAAGAGAAAAAGAGCAAGGGGAAGCCAGTGAATCTCACCTTCTCTGTCACCATTGCTGTCTTCCTTTTTCTCCTTTCTCCTTCCCTTTCTCTTCCTCTACCCCTCTTCCTTCCCTTCCCCCCTATTTACCCTTTGCTCCAATGACCCCCCCACTCCCCATGCACACCCCTCCCCTTGACCCATTCCACCTTCTCCACTTTCTACCTTCCTCCCCAACCCCTCAGATGATTGACGGCGAGGCCTTCCTTTTGCTGACGCAGGCGGACATTGTGAAGATCATGAGCGTTAAGCTGGGCCCAGCCTTGAAGATCTATAACTCCATTCTCATGTTCAAAAATGCCGATGACACCTTAAAGTGACTGGCTCAGGGCAGGGCCATCCTGCAGCCCTCCCGAGCCTTCCTCAGCAACTGATGACTTCTGTATCCCACCTGAGCACAAACCACCGCCCACACCCACCATATCCCTGACCTGGTCCTCCTCTCCAGGACTGCTTCCTCAATAGTGCATGGGAGCACAGGGGCCTGGGAGGGGAGAGTCTTCAGCTCGTTGGCCCCCAGGCCCAGTGGCAAAGGTGTATCTGGGCACAGGGACCATTACTGATGCAGGAAGTTGGAGGTGCCCTACAGCTGTGGGAGCCCCACATCTCCAGCCACCTTGTTTTATCACCGAAGGATCTTTTCTTTAGTAGTTGGGACCAGTCTGAGGCCTGTTTCTCTGGCATTTTTACGTACTTTTACTCCTAGAAAGGATAGGATATGACCCTACTGTAAATTTCTTGAGTCATAGAAATAGCTTCACTTTTTCTGTTTGATGGTTTTGTTGCCCTCATTCTGCCTGGTTCCCTGGGCAGTATCCTCAGCCAGACCTGTTGGAAACTCGTTTTCCTAGACGCCACTGAGAGTCTGGCTGGGCCAAGATGCCTTCTATTATGCCCAGTTCTGGACCACTTGATTTAGTGTCTCAATCCAAGTCCCAGTTCCAGGCAGAATGAATAAGCAGGTAGAGGATTTGCAGCTGGCGGAGGCTGAGGTTTTGGTGATGATTCCAACACATCTAACTGTTGGGTCAGAGGAGGAGAAGCCCAATGGGTGACTAGGTCAGGAAGTCAGCCCAAGGGCAATCAGACAATCTCTGGGTCTTTGGCTAGAGAGACAGCGCCTATGGGCATGGTGACCCTCAAATCTCAGCACAGCCTCCTCTTCAGTCCTGGGTTTCAGCTGTGGTGCTACACATGCAGGGGTGAGAGCCCCAGGCAGCCAGGCCTCCTGTAATGAGAATGTAGCATTCTGTCTAGCAGGCACACACCTGTCCCTTACATGTCTGCTGCTTACTCTTGAGAAGTTTTACAAAGGCCACTTGAAGTTGGCAAGGGGAATTTTTCTGTCTCTGAATTCCCTAGGTCCCTTACAGTCGTCCTTACCACTCTCCCTCGTTGTTGCGCTGCCAGCCAGGTCCCTACTGGTTCTGAGACTTGGACCTCTTTGTCTGGTAGGGGCCCAGCCTCTGCTGAGCCACTGCCAAACCTGTTTCCCAGGCACCAGTTTCTGAGAAGCAGCCTGGGTGGTAAGGGCCAGAGACCTGTGCAGGTGCCAGCCCCACATGGAGGTGAGCAACTGCCAAGCGAGCTGCGGTGCTCCAGGTGCTGAGGGGGCCTGCAGGCATAGGGCCATGGGGTCCTTCCCTAGAGCCCTCCTTTCAGTCATGTGATGTATGTGTATATGCGGGTGTGTGGAGGACATGGTCGGAAGTGTTGGACAGGGTGCAGATGCAAGGCTTGGTGTTGGGGAAATGTCAAGGGCTATTCTTGTGAAAATAGGAAACTTTCATTTCCCTTAGAATTGAGAAAACCAAAGCTCGATTGGTTTCCTGCCACAGCCCAGCAGGGCCTCTCTCATGCATAGGCCCTGGCAGCTCTGCCCCTAGCTGGACTCCCACAGGTGCCCCTCTCCTCTCAGCCCTTAGAGGTGGATCTAAGCACAACCTACCAGGGAGCTAAGTGGACAAGCCATGGGGTGAGGGCTGAGTTTTCAGAGGCTCCCCTGATGCCCCTTGACCAAGAGTAAAGAGGAGTAAGCCTGAGCCCCTCTCTCCTCTTGGTTACCTGGGCAAACTCTAGCAGCTCTCCCGCCTGCAGTGTGCTTCTCCACAAGATGAGAAATGCTCACCTGCTTTGTGATGTGAGCAGATGACAGCAGGTCCTGACAGCTGGTGCTATGGGGTCTGGCCAGCTTCTCAGGAGAAGGATCCACATAGACTTTGCCTCATGGATCTGCCAACCATGCTTCTTGATGCTTGCCTAAGAGCAAGGCAAGATGGACCTCGGGCCTCCAAACTTTGAGGCCTCAGCACTTTTTGCACGAATGTCAGCCTCTTTAGAAATAAACCAAATCACAAAAAGTGAAAAGAAATCTCCCTTCTGCCCACCCCATTGTCCTTCCACCCCCACCCTGTCTCCAGATGAAATCACTGCACCTTGACCTTAGGAGAGGCATAAGGGAGGGAGTTGGTGGCATTTCCTGGTGCCCATATGCCCTCTGCCCTGTTCTCCAAACTTACACTTTGGCCTCACCCAGCCCTTTGTCCAGCCCAGCCCTGGTCTAGGGCAGAAAGGGCCTTCCTGTTTGATTTCTGAAGCTGAGGGAATGACCCCAAGTTGGGAAAGGAAGCCTCTTTGCACTTTTCATTCATAAGCACTTTGGTGGGGTTACGTTATTTGTATGGCTTCGTGTGTGTGTGTATGTGTGCGTGCATACGTATGCGTGAGCACATGTTCTTTAAGAGAATCCTCCGGTTTAAGCTAAATCGACTTGTGAATAATCTGTGTCTTACTGTACACAGAAGGGAAAAAAGTTAAAAACAGACGTGGTGTGTTTTGTCAGTCTTCTGAAATAGCATAAATAAACGTGAACAACCCAACTGAATGATTTGCAGCCAGCATCTGTTTCTGTTTTTGTAGTGAAAGCATCAAAGTGATGATCAATAAGGCCATTACTGAAGAGATGAATTAAAAGTCCCCAAGGATCTGATTTTTGTATTGTCCTAAAGTAGGAAGCAAAGGATAAGGATAAATGGGAATATTTGTCTGGGTTAAAAAGCGTAAACAGTGGAAACCCCCAGGGTTCATGTGAAAGAACCATTTTTATAAATGTACAAGAGTAGAAAATTCAGTGAAGTCTTCACTTTTTGAGCTTCAAACTTTCAGGTGGGGAGATGTCAAGCTGAATCAATAGAACAGAGCAGGCAGAAATGCCATGTTCGGTGACTTCAACACCTTTCTTGTCATTACCCTAGTTCCTTTGTCCTGCTGTCCTTGCAGACCACTCATCTAGAATACCAATCACGGCTCTCCAAGAGCCGGTCTTTTTCACACTTTGATCAAAACATTTATGACAGCAGTGCCATGGTGGACTTAACATGTCTAGCCTCAGTGTAAACACTCAGAGCTGTCCAGGGTTCAGCTCTTTCCGTGGACAGCTCTGACTTCCTTTTTGATGCTCTTCAAGCCCCTATCCCACTAGCTCCCGTTTCATTTCAATAGATGTTCTTATAATTGGCATTAGAGAGAAAACGGAAGTCACCAGAAGGAACATGCCCCAGCTTCCTGCCACATCTACAGATCTACCCCCACCCATATCCATCCTACCTTCTCCTTCCTGTTACAACAGAGGAGATGACCCATCTACTTACCAGAAGCTAATTCTCTACCAGCTATGGCGGCCATAAAAATAAAAGGAACATTATAAGACAAAAAGAGCTCTTGGAAATTTAAGATGTGATTGTTGTTAAGTGCTGTTGAGTCAGTTCTGACCCATAGCGGCCCTGTATAGGGTTTCCGAGGAGCAGCTGGTGACCTGAACTTCAGGCCTTGCAGATCAAACCAACCTTGCACTCCAGCACATTAATCTGCAGCGCTACTCCAGGACTCGAAGATGTGATTGCAGAGATCAAATTCAACACAAGGGTTGAAAGATAGTGCTGAGGATATCACTCAGAAAGAATATAAAGACAATAAGGTGAAAAATAGGAAAGACAAATGGGACTGCAACCAATGTTAATATTGTTGTTAAGTTCCACTGAGTTGGTTCCTGAGGAGCATGGTTTCTGGTTTCTGAGGAGCATCTGGTGAGCTTGAACAACTGACCTTGAGGTTGAAACTGATCTTGAGATCTAGAGCTTATCCTACAGCATCACACCAGGATACCATGTTAATATGCAACTAATAGGAATTCTTATAAGAGAAAACAGAGTTACGTAAAACAAAAATATTTAAAAAGGAAAATGAAATTTCCCAAAGCTGGAAGAGCAGCTTCTAGATTGAAAGGTCCCATTGAATGTCCCACTCAATGGATACAGAGGAATAACACCAAGCGACACTTGTGCAATGTCAGAGCAATGAGAACAAGAGAAGATCCCAAAAACTTCCAGAAAGAAGAAAACAGGTCTCATCCAAAGAAATGTGAATTGGAAGAGCATCTCACTCTTCAATAGCCATGCTGGAAATGAGATGATAAATAATGTCTTCATAATTCCAATGGAAAAATGATTTCCACATCAACATTCTGTACCCAGCCAAATTACCAATCAAGTGTGAAGGTGGAACATTTTTCACGCATATAAGGTCTAATTTTACCTCCCATGCACCTTTTCTCAGAAAATCACTTGAGGATGTACTTGATCAAAATGAAAGGAAAGAGAAAAATAGGAGAACCGACAAAGAAATAAGATTTCCAGAATGCTAGGAAAAGGAAAGGTCAGGTTAATACCTGGGCAATTGTCCAGGTGAGAACAGGAGGCTGGATGAAGACTGAAGAAAAGGAAGAATGATGAAGGAAAACAAAACAATAGATATATTAATACAGTAAGAGTTTTATCTTTTTATTTTCAGAGAGAATTGTATATGAGGGGGCTTCAAAAAGTTCATAGGAAAATGGAATTGAAAGATAATAGAATTTTTCTATGAACTTTCTGAAGGTCCCCTCTTATGTCTTAACCCAGTAAATGAGAGTGTTATTAACTTCAGAAAAAGCAAACGATCACACAAATATGTGTTTGAATGTGTGATAGCTGTATATTCATGTTCTATACTGGGAAGAAAGCCACTGGCAATTTTTAAAAGACAGGTTGAGAAATGGCGGTATAACCGCGCTATCTAAACACATGAGACAAATATAAAAGGCAATAGCTAGAAGAGATGAAGAATGAAGCAAGGAACTGATCTTTTTTGTCCAACTGGGAGTCCTGGTGTGGCGCTGTGGGTTAATGTGCTGGACTGCAAAGTCAGTTTGAACCTCAAGTTGAAAGCTCACCAGCTGCTCCTAGGAAACCCAATACAGGGTCGCTATGAGTCAGAACTGACTCAATTACACTTAACAACAACAGTCCAACATACTCAGTAGAGTAAGTACTGGATTGCTAACCACAAGGTTGGCTGTTCAGGCCCACCAGCTGCTCTGAGAGAGAAGGATGGGGCTTCCTGCTCCCTCAAAAGATTTACAGCCTCGGGTTTGATTTTTGGTTTTAATTTCCTCTGGATATAAGATTGAAGATGGGTTGGAAAAGCTTTCACTTTGGATGGCACATGTATGTTGGAATTCTCTGGCAGGTTATGCAATACCATTATGTGTGTGTGTGGTGGTTTTTTTTTTAAACTGACTTTGGAATGAAAGGGAGGCGGAGCCTGGTGGAGCAGCAGCACAACTCTGGAAAGGGGCGGGGCCCTGGGCTCTGCCCTGATTTGCTCTGTGCACTTGGACCAGCCGCCTCCCCTCTCTGGGCTGGGGCCAGTCACATGCTGATATCTGTGTTGGCAGAGGAGGGGAATGTGATGGAGGGACCCTCCAGAGCTTTTTAGAGTAGGCAGTTTGGAAAGCACTGGGATAACTGGAATGCTGTAGGAATTATAATGAAAAAGTGACAGAGAAAACCTTGTGAAATGAGTTGCCTACTGAGAAGGGGTCTCTGGGCAGCCCCTTCCTCACCTATCCCCTAAGTCAGGTCCTGCCCATGCCTTGAGATACAGCTTTCAGTTTGGGACATTTGGGGTCAACCACTATCAAGCCTTCCTCCAGGTAATCTGGGAAGAGCTGAGCTCTGGGCCCAGAGCCCCAGATTTCCCCAAAGCGGAGGGGCCCAGGTCTATATTCAGCTGTGATTCTTCTCCTAGGGCAGTGCCAGAGTAGGTATGCTCCGGAAGGCAGACTTTGGCTCCAAACAAGAGCATGCCAGAGGTGTCAAGCCATGGGGCTGGCTCAGAGGATACCCATCTGCCTATTTCTGAGGTGTCTGTGGAAGGGTTAAACACAGAGGCCCATCGGGGTTTTTATAAGACAAGCCCTCTGCACCTTAGTTCTCCTGTGAGAAAGAGAAAGTGGTCCCACTGGTGGGGCCAGGGAAAATTACTTGGAAAAATTAGCATTTGAGCTGGATCTTGAGGCGGAGGTGGGATTTCAGAGACTGGAAACATATGGCAGTATTGAAAAGGATCTCAGAAATTCTCCCTTGGGCACATGCCATCATCAGTGATTTACATAAAACTCAGAGCTGAGTCACTAACTAGCCCAAGGTCAGACATAGCAGCTTTTTTTTTTCACAGTAGCTTTTAATGTTTAGAGGGTCCCCAGGGCAGGGCCCATCTCGGAGCCATTGGAGCAGCCAGCATCATAACTCATGTCGGTGGTTAATTAGTAACTGGGAGGACCTGAAGCCAGCTCCCAACCGGCAGGGCTGGGACTGGGAGATCGGAGCCGGCTTGGGAGGCCAGGCGAGTGGGTGACAGGTCGCTCCTGAATGGGAAGGTGGCTTGGCAAATCAGGATTGGGTTTCAAGTCAGAAGGACCATGCTGAGAGAGAGGAGTGCAGAGTCATGCGCGGGAGCTGCTCCCCAGGACCTGAGCTGAGTGAGACCCCAAGTTTTCAGGTGAGAAGCTCAGCTGTGTACAGGTCCCCTGCCTGTAGACTCTTCACCTGGTCAATCTCCTTCCTAACTTCTTCCTGCTTTCCTAATTGTTTTTCATAATTTCTTTCTTCTCTCTTTCCTTTCCCCCCTGCCCCCAGAGTAACTAACGCTCTGAACTCTCAGCTGCCCAATTTTCTTCCTTCCTGGAGTCCTTGGGTAGCTCTGCAGGATAATGCACTGGGCCGCAAGGTCAGCGGTTCAAACTCACCAGCCACTCCTTGGAATTTCCTTACAGAGTCCCTATGAGTTGTCCTGTTGTGGCACTATGGGTTAATGTGCTGGACTACAGGTCAGTTTAAACCACAAGGTTGGTTCAAGCTCACGAACCGCTGCTGGGAAACCTATACAAGGTGGCTATGAGTTTAAGGAGCTCTGGTAGTGTAGTGGTTACAAATTGGACTGCAAACCTTAAGGTCAGCAGTTCGAAACTACCAGCTTTTACATTGGAGAAAGATGAGGCTTTCTACTCCCGTGACGATTTACAACCTTGGAAATCCTGTGTAGGGTCGCTGTGAGTCGGAACTGACTCCACGGCACATCACAACCACTCGATGAGTCGGGAGCGACTCAATGGCACTAACACCAACAGCTAACCACTGTAGTCTCACTGTCTTCCCACTGCTTTTCTTTTTTCCTAACTTTTCCCCATAACTCCCGGCCACAGGCTTTGGAATCAGACATCTTGGGTCCAATTCCAGCTGTCTGATATGTTCACTGTATCTTGAGGAAGTCTCTTCGCCCCTTGGTGCCTCAGTTTCATCCACCTTTATTTAAACAGGGATGGTAATTGTTAGTTCATGGAGCTGTCAGAATAAAATGGGATCAGGCTGGCATTTGAGGTGGGTCAGCAGTGGTATGCACTGGACTCCAGAAGGCATGTAAATGACTACATTACAGTAGCGTGAGAAGAAATCATCAACATTAGCAGGCTCAAAGGCAGGAGTGAGGGCCTGTAGGATCAGCAGGGATCTGGCAAGGCTTTTCTGGGAGGGCAAACGAGGGCAGATGAAAAGGGTTAGCTGAGTGGGCCAGGTGGGTTTGCAGACATATTCCACAGGAAGAGAGTCGTTCAGGGAGATGCAAACATATCCATCGGCATATAGTGATGGAACAGAGGAATTCAAGTCTGGGCTGTACAAATTAGGGGAAGAGACAGCCCTGAGAGACCTGGACCACTCCCTGGGAAGTCACAGGGTGTTGATGGTCAGCCCCTGGCCAGAATATCAGAACTGGTGGGGCAGGACGGTAAAAACCCTTTGGAGCTGAGAGCTGTTCAGATGTGGGCAGACACTGGGCTTGTCAAGGTTTCCACGGGGTCTTCCTCCTTAAGTACTTCCTGAATAGCAGCATCTTGAGAAAATTCAAACAACAGTACAAACATAAAAGGAGTCTAATCTAAGAAACCACTGTTACCTTGGGCCATGGCCCTTCAGGCTTTTTCCTGTGTCTTTACACAAGTGCGCTGGATGGCAAGGTTGGTTTGAACTGCAAGGTCGGTGGTTCAAGTTCACTAATCGCCCCCTTGGAAACCCTATACGGGGTCGCTATGAGTCAGAACCGACTCAACAGCACTCTAAAACAACACATACACAAATAAGGAGTCCTGGTGTGACATCATGGGATAAAGTACTGGACCACAAAGTTGGTTTGAACCACAAGGTCAGTGGTTCAAACTCATCAGCTGCTCCTTGGAAACCCTATGCAGGGTCAGTATGAGTAGGAACTGACTCCGCAACACTAAAACAACAACATACACAAATGAGGACTCCTGGTGTGGCACTGTAGGATCACCACTAGACTACAAACCACACAATTGACAGTTCAAATCCACCAGCTGCTCCTTGGAAAACTTATAAAGGGTTTCTATGAATTGGAACTCTGGTAGCGTAGTGGTTACGAATCAGGCTGCGAGCCACAAGGTCAGCAGTTCGAAACTACCAGCTGTTCTGCGGGAGAAAGATGAGGCTTTCTGCTCTCGTAAAGATTTACAGCCTCGGAAACCCTATGCAGGGTCGCTATGAGTCGGAACTGACTCCATGGCACATAACAACAACAACAATGAATTGGAACAACAAAATGCTATCAGGGCTCCTTTTATTTGTGTATGTTGTTGTTAAGTGCCATGGAGTCAGTTCCGACCCATAACGACCCTGTATAGGGTTTCTGAGGAGCAGCTAGCTGGTGAGCTTGAACCACTGACATGGTTCAAATAAGTCCAGCACATTAACCCATAGTGCTACACCAGGATTCTCCTGATAGTGTTGTTGTTGTTATTAAGTGCCGTTGAGTCGATTCCGACCCATAGCAACCCTGCGTAGGGTTTCCAAGGAGCAGCTTAGTGAGCTTGAACCACTGACCCTTGCAGTTCAAATGACTTTGCAGTCTGGCACATTAGCCCACAGCGCCACACCAGGACTTCTCCTGATAGTGTTGTTGTTGTTGTTATGATGGTTAGCTTGGCTGCTAACCCCAAGGCTGGCCATTGGAGCCTACTCAGCAACTCTGTGGGAAAAGACCTGGTACTTGGCTTTCATAAAGATTGTTGTTGTCGCTGTTAAGTGTCGTTGAGTCGGTTCTGATCCATACTGACCCTGTATAGGATTTCTGAGGAGCACCTGGTGGATTTGAACTGCCTGGAAACCCCTCTGAGGCAGTTCTACTCTGTCACGTGGGCTCCATATAAGTAGAAGATGACGCCACATGACCTAACAACAAATACACAAGTACATATATGAATCTTTTTTTTTCCTTTTATAAAAATGGTAGCCTAGTGTAACTATTGTATTTTTTTGTTTTTGTTTTTAATGCACATTTTATTGTGGCGTGGGTGAAAGTTTATAGAACAAATTCGTTTTCCATTCAACAATTTTCTTTCTTGTTTGCAAGCTCGGAGTAACAGCACTCTTCCCACTGGACTGCCTCTTGTTTCCAGTCCTCCTTTGCTGCCCCTTCTGAATTTATTTTGGGGCCAATGCTGCCATTTTGGTCTCACATGGTTGATGGTACTGAAGGTTGTTGGGTGTTACTGTTGACTTTATTGACCTGTCTGTTGTTTGACTGAAATTGTGTTTCTGAGAATGGATTCAGTTCCAGGTTTGAGGGGTATCTAAAGGCATGAGCAATTGGTGGTCTGTTCTAGAGTCTGCCCCTGGCCTTGTTTTGGCTGATGATACAGAACTTTGGTATGGGTTGCACCTCATTGTTAACAAAAATCCTCACCATTCGACCAATAAACAACATCCATATAAATGGAGAAAAGATTGAAGTTGCCAAGGACTGCATTTTGCTTGGATCAACCATCAATACTCATAGAAGTAGCAGTCAAGAAATTGAACAACATATTGCATTAGGCAAATCTGCTGCACAAGACCTTTTGTATTGAAGAGCAAAGATGTCAGCTTGAGGACTAAGGTCGCCATGGTGTTTTCAGTAACCTCATATGCATGTGAAAGTTGGACAGTGAATAAGGAAGACTGTAGACGAATTGATGCATTTGAATTATGGTGTTGGAGGAGAATATTGAAAGTACCATGGAATGCCAAAAGAACAAACAAATCTGTTGGAAGAAATACAGTCAAAGTGTTCCTTGGAAGCCAGGATGGCCAGATTTCATCTCTCATACTTTGGACATATTGTCAGGAGGGACAAATCTCTGGAGAAGGATACCATGTTTGGTAAGGTGGAGGGTCAGAGAAAAACAGGAAGACCCCCCCGACAAGATGGATTGGCACAATGGCAGCATCGGTGGGCTCAGGCATAGCAACAATTATGAGGTTGGCTCAGGACTGGGCAGTGTTTTGTTCATTGTGTATAGGGTCGCTATGAGTCGGTATTGATTTGATGGTACCTAACAACAACAAAGGCTATGGTGAAGTCTTGGTGTGACTCTGTAGGATGTGCATTGGACCACAAGGTTGGTTTGAACTGCACAGTCAGCGGTTCAAATCCACCAGCTGTTCCTCGGAAACCCTATACAGGGTCACTATGAGTCAGAATCAACTTGATGGCACTAAACAATGACAACAGCAGCAAGGGTTCCACCAGTCTCAGTTAGACCAGTAGGTTTGATTTGATTTTGTAATTTTGAATTTTATTCTACATTTTTCTCTCCCTCTTTCCAGAACCATTCATTGGTTTACTGTAACTATGACCACTGGTTTTGAACCTTTTTAACTTGACTGCATCTACATATATAAGGGGGCTTCAAAAAGTTTATGGAAAAATAGAATAAAAAGATAATGGATTTTTTCCGCAAACTATTTGAAGCCCCCTCATATGTGCTCCAATTTTAATCAAGATAGGTTTATGTATAATTTTTAGTTGTATAATATTCCATTTCATAAATGTATAATAATTACTATATCAATTCATTCCTTGATTCATTGATAAAATATGTACTGTTTACCTAATATATCCCAGGCCCAATTTAGATGCTGGAGATTCCACAAGAAACACAAAAACCACAAGAAAGTTCCTGCCCTCGTAGAGCTGGGAAGCCACATTAAATTAAATGATTGTATGAGAAGGGGCCGGAGAGTCACAAATGCTATGAAGACAAACAGAAAGCAGAGAACACAGACAGGGAATGAGAGAGAATGGTATTGTACAGTTTGCCCGGACTGTCCTGCTTTTACCACGGAAAGTTCTGCTTCCTGGGAAGCAATCAGTCCCAAGAACACTGAGGTATTGGTCTCTGTAGTCAGGGAAAGTCTCTCTGAGAGGTGACATTTGAGCAGAGATCTCTGTGAGGACAGTAGGAGCCAGTCCTCCAGCTGTCTGAGGGAGAACATTGTCAGCAGAGGGAAAAGTAAGTGCATGGGGCACAAGGTTAAGGGGCACTTGGCATGTTTGAGTGTCAGAAAGACAGTCACGGGGGCAGTAAGTGAAGGGGAGAGCCACTGGTGACTAAGGCAGAGACAGGCAGGAGTCAGGTCAAGTGGACTCTCCTACCAAAAAACAGT